TCAGTCTATCGGAGTGAGCGTAGTGTGCTCCCCGATCTCACTTCATCGGAAGTGTGTTCTTCAGGCGGGGCTGGGGATTGAGCTCGGGATCACTGGGTTCTGCCCCCCAGCGCGAGCTTTCTCTCCCTTTACTGCGATCTGGTGCGCGCCAGCCCACTCGGCCACCGATACTCCTTAATAAAGGCACATTAAAAAAAAAATTAAAGACATTTACAATTCTCTGTAATGCTGAATTGGAGTGCAGCTGAGGAGGAGTAGGAGGAGGTGGGGAGGGTATGCAACTGCTCCCCCTCCGGACCCTCCCATCCTCCTCTGCTGCTCCCCCTCCCATTTAGCGGAAAATTTTCGCTAGATTTCCAGCTAAATATAACGGGGAAATTTCCCCGCTGATTTGACGTGTGACGTCGTATGACACATTACGTGAAATTTTACGTGTGATGTAATGAGTGTAAAATTTTCCCGTTAAACTTAGCGAAAAAATTTCTCTAAACTTGGCGAAAACTTTTCCCGCCAAATTTAGCGAGATAATTTTACCCTCGTGATGTCACGTGTGACATCATTTTGAGAAACATCCCATATTGCAACGCGCGGTTACGCCGACGCCGCTCAATCCGGAAATGGACGCCTCAGAGCTGCCCTCTAAAACAACGTTACATTAAAGCGCGAAACACATGTACGACGAAACCTTCCGATCCGACTTGCGGACTGCCGGAATGACCTTGGGGGCGAGGGTTTTCGTAGTATCGGAGAGCGTTGAAAACCCTCGCCTCCGACCGTCGTATTGAGTGGTCGGACGTCGGATCGGACGGTTTCGTCGTACATGTGTCTCGTGCTTTATGCACAATTTTTACGCCAATTGGATGATTCTGATTGATCATCGCAAGCCAAGATAAAGAAAGAAGCACATCCAACTTTGGCGTTCCGCTTCGTCCCATGGAAGCCTACGAGGAGGCCCCGACACTGCCTAATTAGATCATAATTATTGTGTTGTCTCGAATAGTTACATGCTGACACAAAAGTAGGCTCTGTTTTTCTCTGCTAATCAAGATAGCCTTGGAATGACTGACTTTGTCGTCGTCTTTTATCAATTCACTGCGGCGCAAATCTTGGTACAGATCAGCCTAAACTCCAAGTGCACCCCACTCTTTGTTTGCAATGCCACTCCTCTCTGTCCTCTCTTTCACGAATTCCTTATTCTTTATAGAATAAAATTTACGTCTCGTTTTTGGTTTTTGTGTTGTATGTTTTACTGTTGAAACATTGCTATTGATGCCACGCACTCGATCGAGTGAAGTGAGTTTGTCAAACTCGCTGGAACTTGAGATTGTTCCTCAGGAAGAAGCCGTGTGGCACACTACAGAAATTACACTAAAGTCGAAGTGCACTTGGTTGAAGTACACTAAATTATCCCCTCTGACAGGGGTATTAACCATCGCAGTTCAAATACTTATAAAATAGGGCATTAAACAAAAGAAAATCTGTTAAAGTGAGTGCGCCACCCGTTCAGGCTGCCCGGCCAAGCCAATGCAACCTGTTCCCAGCCACCATGCTTGTTTGGTGGTGGCGCCCCCTATAGCTCGCTGGAGTCGCGAATAGATGTGGAAGGAATATTGGAAGATGGCCCCTTGGACTGAATTGGCTGCTATCGAGTGTTGATAGCGTACAATGAAACTTCATACAAAACACTGGCACGTGCAGCCTGAACCAGAACACGACCATACAGGTAAAAAGGGTACGGGGGGCATGGAACTTCTCGAGCTACCAAAAATTCACCGTCCGCTAATCGAGACTAACGACGGCGCTGCTCCGGTTCTTTCGCGCTTTTTACCGGGACTTGTAGCACCAGCCACCGGGATTGCGACATCCGACAAAGCGACAAACCAAATTTAGGTTCTTTTCGGATTGAAACTGCGCAGCAAGAAGTGCCCCTCTTTATGAATGGTTTCTTACAGTAGCCCGGAAGAGCCTGCCACAGGTTGCAATAGAATTAGGATTCTGCAAGGATTGCGAATCCTGGTATGTGGTGAACGGGGCGAGGATAGTGTTGTGCCTTTCACTAATGAATGCATTGAATATCTGCTAAGTGGAGGACAATGGGCTCGTGGCTGAGTAAAGGTTCATTGGGGTGCGAGGTTGCGGGATGTTTGTCTAGGGTTTGCTGACGTGGCAGAACATTTTTCGACTCCTACAGCCTGGCTTACCCGCCGGTTTGCACGAGCAGGTAAAACTATCGTGGCTCTTTCAGCTGCAATATCCCCAGCGTGAACAAAGTAGTGGTCAAGAGCCCCCTTCTCTGGAATGTCCTCTTTGGGTGATCTGGCACCTGCTGCAGCTGCCTCCGACAAATTGGACACACGGACCTTTTGCTAACGAGCGCCATCTAGAAACTACAAATGAAGGGCAGCATAACGTGCCTCCGCCCATCAGAATACATTGGCATTGCGCCATTGTGTTGGCTTTTCTTGCTTTTTATGCCCCATACTACCTATGCTCCAAAAAGAAGAGTAAAAAAAAAGACTAAATATGTGAAAAGATGGGTGTTGAAAATGTTGTTAGTGCAGGACGGCCTTCGAAATTGGGGATGGCGGGGAGCAAGGCCAGGGGAGAGTGCATATGCATACTTAGAAGCTTGCTTGAGAAAGGTTGTCTTTACCATTATCACTACTACTACTACGGACAAAAGCAGGTCTCCGAGCTACCCTCTGCAGAAGGGAGGAGTGTCCATCTTTCTCAAATCGAAAGGAGCGAGCGGGGGGACCGACAACCACCTTCTTGGCTGGTTGTCATTCTCTCTGAATCTTTATATCTTTAGGAGTCCCATCCAGCAACGCTTTTAGTTACCAGATTTTTGTTGTTTCTATACTCCATTCGTCGTCAGTGTGAGCGAAGAAGGTACAAGAGCAAGCAAAGTGCTTTGAGTGGGGCCACTATGAACATGTGCTCGTGAAGGGAGTGCAAGGCAACATGCTTGTGCTTGCCGCTCTAGTTTCGCTTCCACTTAGTATAGTGAAACTGAGTCTGGTGGCGTAGCTTGTGGTAAAACTTGAACTGCAGGCCTAGCCCTTGGCGACACAGTTGCGAGACCGCAATCCAAGCTGACTGTTGATGTGGTGCCAGAGTCCAAAAATAGCTGCTAATGTATGGCTAATATGTAGTTGGTACGGCTGCTATTATAGAAGGCACACAAACTTTTGTAAAGGATCTATTAATGCGGAATCTGTTCAAGGTCTAGTGTATGGCTAATACGTAGTTGGTACGGCTGCTATTATAAAAGGCACACAAACTTTTGTAATCTGTTCAAGGTCGTTTCTCTCGAACGTAACGAAAAACCACTGCATGCGGGCCAAGGCTGCATAAAGCATGCATAGCCCGTAGCAGGCAATGTGTAAGCGCACCAAGCGTATAAGAGGCTTACTTAGACATAAAATTATCATACTTGATCATAGTTGGTGTGAGTTGCCAGGCGGTGCAGCGGGAATCTAACCCTGGATCGTGAGATCTGCAGCCCGATGCTTTTGCTCGGTGCCACAAGGAGAAGGCGATTGGGAGTGCAAGCAACGGACTAGATACGACAGGGAAGCTTGCGGTAGGACGGGCGTCTAGCTGTTTCCCGATTGATGAAGCGTGGCTCCCCATGGGATCTCGCGATGTCCTGGGTACCAAATAAATTCAATATCGTCTCAATCATTTTGATAAATCTGGGGAGCAGGCGAGTGCGCCCTGCATTCAATGCGTCGAAAATTGCCCGACTCTCCCCATGACCAAGCATAATGCATCTCAATGAATCCTAATGCAGACACGGCCTTTCAGTTTGTGCCGAATGTAGATGGGAGTGCTGGATGTTTCTGCGTTCTGGGTTTGCACGACTTCCTTTTTTGGCCTGGTGTGCTTGAGGTTGTTTAGCTTTGAGAGAAACTAAGTTGCACGAGAGTTAATAACCACACTGACAAGAAGCTACACTTTGAGTGCTGTTCCCTTGCATTTCTGTTAATTTACTTCCTAACACTAGCCCTGTTTGTAGCTGTAGTTATGGCACAATACTGTAAAACCCTTTATTTTCGCGGCCCCCATTTTTCGCGAATCGGTCACAGATGACATAATCGCGACCACTAAATTTCGCGAATTCCAGACGCCTGCATTGAAAATCTTAAGGACCGAAATTTTCGCGCGCCCTTAAATTTCGCGAATTCTCCAATTCGTGAAATTCGCGAAAATTGAGGGCTCGCGAACATTAAGGGTTTTACAGTAGTTAATTTCACCTTGCAATGTACAGTCTGCATCAAACGTGACATGACTTTGTGGCATCACATGACCTGATATCATGTCATCTGCTATCATAAGGTCATGTGACACTGTGATGTTGGCTGACGCCCCGACTTTGCGGTGTCCATGTTGTACTGACGCAGTACATACGTGTCGCACTAACCCGGCTCGGACAGTAAATGTTCCTAATTCCATAATGTTTGTTACAAGTGGTTGAGAAAGAAAAATGAAAGCCGTTTACAATTCCCTGTAACGCCGGTTAGAGCACAGCTCTTGAGGAGGAAGATGGAAGCGTACTGAGGGATAGGTGACTCCTTGAGGTCACGTGACCTAAGGGGGCTCGCGTGACGTCAGGGGGGTCACGTGACTTCAGGGGGGTCACGTGAACTCGGGGGGGGGGGGGGGGGGGGGGTCACGTGTCCCCAGGGGGTCACGTGACCTCAGGGGGTCACATGGCCTCAGGGGGTCACGTGATCTGAGGCGGGTCACGTGACCTCAAGGGGTCATGTGACCTGGGGGGGGGTCACGTGATTTCGCGGATACGCCGACGGCGACGGCGACGCCGCTCAAGCCGGAAGCGGGCCCCTAAGAGCTGCGCTCTAAAATGTATTTGTAGAATGGTCGAGGAATTCGGAAAACGGGTTGTTGCCGTTTGTTAGGCCTCCACATGTCATTAAGTGAAACTACCTGCGCCTTTTAAGTGATCCCCGCTGATAACGGCTACTCTTGCATTCCAGGGTAGCCCGACCCGCCGGGCTCTCCTGCCATGGAGAACTCGGACGCCGGCAGCAACAGCTCGGCCGCGTCCGGAGACAGCGACTCGGATTTTGGATCGGCTTCAGAGTCTAGCCGCAGCCGCAAGTCCGGCTCCGCCTCGCCACGGCTGGACTCGAGCAACCAGACGGCCAAGACTGGCGAGGAGGAGGAAGAGGAGGAGGAGGGGGAGGAGGAGGACAACCACGAGGAGAACAACAATGACGACGCCAACAGCGGGTCCGCGAAAAGCGACCGCGGCTCGAGCTCTGAAAGCGAAGACGCAGAGTCGGACAGCGACGCTGCGGAGAGGGTTCGGTCGGCCAACCAGAGAAGGACCTCGGAGAGTGCCGGTTCGCACCAGGACGACAGCTCGAGGGATGCGAGGAGGAGGGGGGGCAAGGGAGGGGGAAAGGGAGGCCTGAAGCAGGTGTGGGAGGAGAACCCGGACATGTACGGGGTGCGGCGTTCCGGTCGCTGCCGCAAGGAGCCCGAGCGATACACGGTCGACGTGAGTGTATGGCCATTTTGTGTCCTCTCTTCCGTCCTTTAGTTGTTCTTGGCTCCTCTCGTCGAAAAGAGCATGGGTGGGGGGGGGGTGTTGATGCGTGCCATGGTAAAAGTTTGGGGCACGGGGAAGGTCGTGCCACTCGCCTAAATCATCAGAATTTGCTGCATGCTGGCATGAGTAGTGTATTGCTTTAGGAAAGAGTGTCGTGTACAGCCAGATGTACATATTACCATCAACCTCTCCGTCGCACCTTTAGCTCACCGTGGCACCGTATGCATAGAGTCTTCTGAGAACCAGTTGTTGTGTGACTGGTGCATCTCCTCTCGTCTTAACGAGTTTACATAACTGCGTTTTGCTCTGCGCTTTCTTCTTTTAGGAATCTGAAGGCAGCGACAGCCGGAAAGGTCCAAGATCTGGCGCTCGTTCACGGAAGGCGTAAGTCGTCGGTCTTAGTTGTTCTCCAGTCTAGCCATACAACAGGCTGAAGAACCAATGTGAAAAACTGTGCTGCAAACACAAACATGTGCACTGAGATGTAGTCCAGTGCCTTCGTTACATCAGTTTGCCAGTGCTGTCAGCATTGGTGGTCTTCAGTTATGAGCTTGTTAAAAAGGGCAGGGTGTCCTAGAATGTTAGTATTTGACAGACCTAGCCATATCATTCTTTTCAGGCAGGGATCCAGAAACTTTGCGATGAATATTTTGAGGATAATCTACCGTTCATGCTCCAGTTTAATGCTTGTGAGTGCATGCTACGTGTGATTCTCAAGTTGTTTGTCTCCACTCTTCAGTCTAAAATTGGGATGGCTGCGTTCCCTTCTCCCAAGTCGACAGTCATCGGACTGAGTTTCTTTGAAGTAGAAAGAATTTCCCCTAGCACCAGTTTTGCGAGAGATTAGCGACCTTACAGGAACTCGCCGTTGCCCCATTGTATTGCAGAGGGCAGTCGGAAACCTCAGCCGAGCTGTTTGTTCCCGGTTCTCGGAACTTTAAATCATAGTTTTGTCGGCACGGCTGTATGGAATCTAGATGCTATAAAAACTTTAGCTTTCTAAATGAAACATATTATGAGAACTTGAATGGCCACAGTGCTTGCCACCTCTAGCCTCCATTTTGACCGCATTCATCTTTGACAAAATCGGCACTAAAAGGAAGCCTGAACTGTTCCTTAGATTTTCTCTCGTATGGCTGCAGCCTTTAAATAAAAAGGGAATTCTATGATGTTTCCGGCGCAGTTCGGGCGACTGGCGGTCAAGCGGGAACAGCGACGAAAGCGACAGCGAAGCTGGCGGCAGAGCTCGTAAGGTTCCCCCCAAGAGGCCTCCCCCGCGGAGGGCGCCGGCAACCCAGCAGAGACGTGCCGCCGCCGCCGCCTCCAGCAACCGCGTGCGCTACCACAGTTCCGAGAGCTCCAACGAAGCGTCGTCGGACGACGACGACAGTGACGATGACGAAAGCAAGCGCCAGGCGTCGCGGAGAGGTGGCAAGGCTGTCAGGTGAGTGGCGGCACCGTTTTTCGGTTGTCGGGTGGATTGTGCCCCGCACTATGTTTAAATTAAGTGCAAGCATACCAGAGTCTACGAGAGCGAGCCCTGAACTTTCAGCAGCCCCGCCGAGCAAGCACGCTCATGCAGCGCAAGCATCGTTAAGGGCAACGTGCCCGTAGCTTCGACTTCTCTCTCACGTGGTGTGAAACTAACTGTGGGGACTCGATGAACTCTAATTGCTGCTGTGGGACAGAAATGACTGAACCTGTGAAGTGTCTGGTAATTTTCGCTCGCGCTTTTCTTTTTGCAATTGTGAGCGGCTGCCGTGGAGGCTGTTTCTCACGAGACCCGCTTGCTGGATGTGCCGATTTGTTTTAGGCATTTAAGCATATCGCACCTAAATTGTTTGCCACTCTGTTTGTGGTTCAGGTCTCTTTTCGACTTATGCTGATCTTGAACTTTGAAGTCGTGCACCACATCTACTCGGTTCTAAGTACGCTTTTCACTAAACGTGCGTCATCCAGAAGTGAAGGAGCATCCACATTTGAGCCGGAAAATTGTGTGTACGCCAGTTCGTTCCGGTCCTACTCGAATCGCTAGATTTGGGCCGGTCTTTAATCACGTTTTTGGCATTGAGACTTTGGACGTCGATTGGGGTGTTTCTAACATTATAGACGTCTGCTCGAGCTAACAAAAGAGAATGCATACAATGCTTTGCTCTGCATATCCAAAATTGTTTCTACGAGACTGCAGCAGTGGGAAGTGTGACGCACTGAACGTTTCCTGTGCTTTCCAGCTACAAGGAGCAGAGCGCGGAGGAGACCGGGTCGGACGACATCGTGGAAATCGAGTACGACGAACAGGCAGTCGCCGTTGAGTCTCCAAATGCAGAGACGGTGGAGAGGGTCATCGACCACAGGAGAGGGAAGAAGGGAGGTGAGTGACGCCCTCGTCGCGTCCCGGGATTCACAAGGCTCAATAATTTCTGGGATCCAAGGTCTGCGGTTTCTGTTACCCGAGGGCTTGCAGGCTGTTCTCGATAGAAGAATGGGTTGGGATTCGGTCGTATCAGTTTAGCCTCTCTGATTTGAGGGGTTGGTTCAAGCTAGCTTAGTTGAGGAAGCTATATAGCTTAAACTGTATCGGGATGGAACACCCTGTCTCTAGAAATGTATTGGCAAGAATCTAGACTTGTTTGAGACATGTCTGTGTAAACTATGCATATAAATATCAACCGACCTTGTGGTAGTGCTTTACTTGGATGGTGCATGGTAGCTATATTGTCCTGTAGTCGTCAGAATGTCACATTTTGAACTTCCATGCTTTCGGGTGGTTATTTCAGTTGAGTTGTAGCCAATTATTTGGCACGCTTAATATTGATGGGCAGATGTGAACTTTTTGCCAGAAATGTATGTTGTGTTATTGCATTTCTTTGGAACGCTGTGAAGTGCTGCCCCTGTGTTATATGGTCCTAAAATACATTTATTTAGTTTTTTTTTGGTGCTGCAAGTTTTTCATTGGAACCTTGCGTTTATTTTCACCGATTAGAAAGTTAATTAGAAAATTTCTGCTAATTATTCCATTAATTTATGTTTTTTTGCAATCCTTGCCATCCGCCATGGCTGGCAGATTTTTCCTGAAAAGAGTTTTTATTTTTCTCAACCACCCTATTTTTAAGGATTTTTGAAAGCCTTCGCTGAACCGCCCCACATGTCCTCGACATCAGGGCATCACGCGACTCCCTGACATCAGGGCGACACCCCAGAATCGTGACGGCATGACATGAGTCGTAGAAAGTAACAAAGTTACGCGACCTCACGAGGTCCCGCGACGTCGCACATGCAACACGTGTTAGCTTGTTTTCGAGTTCATCAAATACGATTGAGGCATGCCTAAGTTTTTCTTACGCGGTGACGCGTGCCCCTCAGCGACCGGTGCCTCCACGACGGTGTACGCGGTGGAGGACTACGGCGACCCCAACACCCCGGACACCCCCGACGAAGAGCGGGAGACACAGTACCTGATCAAGTGGAAGGGCTGGTCCCACCTGCACAACACCTGGGAGACCCTGCAGACCCTCCAGGACCAGAAGGTGAAGGGCATGAAGAAGCTGGACAACTACATCAAGCGGGAGGACGAACTTCGCCTATGGTGAGCTCTCTCCCCAAGTTTTTCCCGAGTTTATCTTTGTCCGTTCGTTTTTCGGTGGTACAGAAGTAGCACGCCAACCAGATGTCTAGTGGTCTCCATACTTTTGTCTCGCACACGCTCAGCTCGGAGACGGTGAAATTCATTTAAAGTGCAGATAAGACGTAGCCCTTCCATAAGCTAGTATGTATGCACAATTCTAGTGAGGGAGTGTTTGTCGGTTTATGTGGGTGACCATGGATAATTGAGGTGTTAAGAATCAAAGCACTTAATTCTCTCTGTATTCATGCCAGTTGTCAATACCAAGCATGGCTGCAGTATGGTATAAAGTGTGAACTTGCAAATCGGAGGGAATACCATATAAAGTGTGCATGATTTTGACCCCAGCAAACGGCCACCCCTGAAGGTCCTTGTTCGGCGTAGCCCAGCTAAATTATTAGAGAAGGACTTTCGCTGACTAGGGCCGTGAATGAACACTTCAGTCTTAAAGCATAGAATAGGCGCCAGTGTTTCTTGCACACGCTGTTTCCTTTTTCAGAAGGTGCGTTTATGAGGCTTACATTAATTGCCCATCCTTCCCGCAACTCGGGCGGTTATGCCTCTTAACGAAACAAGTGTGCGCAATCTGCGACCACGATACATCATACCCGAGACTCCGGTAAACGAGGAGCCATTCACCGCGCCCTTTTGTCGTCTGCTTCTTTCCACTTCCCAGGCGAGATCACGCCTCCCCCGAGGACATAGAGTACTTTGAGTGCCAGCAGGAAATGTCCGAAGAGCTGCAGGGGAAGCACATGGATGTGGAGAGGATTATTTGTGAGTGCCGTCCACCCCCCCACGAAGGTGCCTCATTTTCCCCCCCATCTCTCATTGGACGACACACTTGCATGTTTACATTGGACGAGCCTTCTCCCGCAACCCTCTTCCGTCTTGGTCCGTTATCCGGATGACGACGCTCAGAACGCGGCTACGGCCAGGGTGCTCACCGTGTCTTCGTTTCGTTCCTCAGTTTTCGTCTACGGTCGCTGACAGAGTCTGCGTGATGCCGTGGTTTGTCGTGATCGCGATGGTGGTACGGCGCCGGACGTCGACGCCGGTCGTAGAAGCTGCTGCAGGACGCCGGTCCTGCTGCAGCTTCTACAACCGGCGGTCGAGAGCCATGACAGTTCACGGCGTTACGCAGAGGCTCCGTGACAAATTCTGTTGCCGTTTCGGGGAGGCGGTACAGGACGCCGAAAACTGCAGCCGGAGGCACGTTTTGGGCGCCGTTGTCTGGACCCCCCTGCCGTCGTTTGCTTGAGGGAGAGCTCTTGTAGTGCGGAAGGGTAGCGACGACCGTTCCATTAATTATGATTTGTCGTTTAATACTTGGAGAAAGTAGAAAAATGGACGCGTGTCTTTAAGTACAGGAAATGAAAAAAAAAAAAAAAAAAAAAGGAGTTTTTAGAGAAAGGGACGAAAGCGCGAGGGATAGAAACAGACGAAAGCGCGAGGGATAGAAACAGACGAGGCGCCATGTGCGGGGCATGACACTGTTGGCGCTTTGTATGTGTTGTCGTCTTCCTTTTGCAGCAACACATTACAACCGGTTAGGGGCCGTCATGCGATCCAGTGTTCTTTTGAGCTGTTGCCTGTACTAACTGTCCCTGTTGTTTCACCATATAGCTGTGCAGTTCTAACGGCACGTGGGACGTTGCATAGAGCGAATATTGGGGTGTGCACGGAAAGGAGATTTTAGGAAAGGGTATGGGACAGAGGGTTATGGTTGTTGCTACTTTTCCGCACGACGGGCACTCTCTTTTCGCTTTACGGGGGTCGGAAGAGGGTCGGAGGAAAGATTACAGTCGGAGTCAAGTATCCCAAGAAAGAAATGCTTTCGTGTTCCTTAAGCTGTTTTCTGCTTCTGGAGTTCCCAGTGCTTGCAGAGCAGAGTCATGTATGCTGAAGCCTTCGATGCAGGCCTTCCAAAATTTTCTGTGTTTCTCCCTTTAACTATGTACCGATGCACTCACCAACAGTTGTTAAACTGTTTGTTGTTGTCTTTGACACTAATTGCAAGATTTGGGTTCTGACACTTAACGTAAAGTTGTTGCATTTGTTGTTTAAAGCTTGCTCAATAGTCCTGGTTGATGTTTAGCAGTTTATGTACAGGTCTGTGCTTTTCTTGCATCTTGCTCTGAACGCATTGATGCAGGAGTAATGTTTCTGGTTCTTTGGGTGGCTGGTCTCGTTTTCAATGTTTATTATCAGTTGAGTCGCTTTTGTTTTCTTGTGACTTTTGCAAGCTTGTCCTTGGGCACCGCTTTGAAAGGCTTGCCTGGCTGGTGACAGTAGGCTTTCAAAGATTGGTTAGAAAATTTTGACTCTTTGTAGGACAAAGGCTATGATTAATAGGTCAAGAGTCTACATCTATAGGATTGGGTTTATGTATTGCTGAATATTAATTGACGTTGTCAGCAAAATTAAATGGCTGCGGTTTTGCTAAATACTTCTACGCTGCATGCACAGTTTATTCTGTGCGTCTTAAGGCTTTCCTCAATGTCTGTGGTTTTGGCTGAATATTGAGGGCTCTGCATGGAAGGCTTGGGGCTTCTGGTGGGATACTTGACTCTGAATGCAACTCTTGCCAGTGGTAGGAAAGAGCTGCATGACGCATGCTGCATGGCACGCATGAATCAATGTCTGAACTACCGCGATCGCTGTTTGGGCACTGGTCGACATGAGCAGCGTCTGGGCCCACGGAGAAGACATCACAAATTAGACCGAGTGAGATGAAACTAAAATGTGTCCAAGTCGTGCTGTTAGAAGCATTGACGACAGTTTCTGCAGTATTGTGGAAAGGCCTCTGTGTTTCCCGGTTGACAGATATACGGACTAGCTTTAACAAAATTTCTCGTCACGATAGATGCAAAGGTCTTGAGGCAATTTTAAGAATGCTCCTCTTTCTAATCATGTCGACCTGTGTCTTGCAGTGAAGGCAGTGGTTCATGTTTTCTCAACTCGTGGCTTTTGAGTGGGTGACAAAATGCTTAGAAATGAAGATGAGGGATGGCTACCCCAGCAGCTCTACTTATTTTTAATGCCGTTGAAAGCTTGTCTATCTGTTAATTTTTTTGCATCACAAATAAATCAATAAGTTTTTTTTGCCTTGTTTAATTGAATAAGGGCTTCTCATTTACTTTGTACACTGGAACCTTCTTCATTTTTTTGTAAAATTGTCAACTAAACATTTCTGGAGTTGCATATAGTTTGCAAGTCTTAGCTCTGAAAACTAATACTTTGCAGTGTTGTGGTTTTCTGTATCGGTGCACAAACTAATATCGTGTAAGGAACAGCCTGCGCAACGCTTCTGAGTCGAGCTGCTGCCGTAAAAGTTCCTAATCAGCTGGGCGGTACTATTTTTTGTCAACGATATAAAAGGGACTGCTTTTGAATTGATGGCAAGAAATCGATGTAAACATGCAATCACAGTTCCCTTCATCATACTACCCCATCATCTCCTTTAACCCTCCCCTCCCCATTTTTTCGTTCTTTGAGCCTGTGCCATATACTAAATAGGTCTGGAATTGTTTGATTGTTTCCTAAAAAGCTTTTGAATGTTATTAGTGGCTACATTAGGTATTGCCACAATGTCAAGGTACTGTTTCCTCATTGCTAGCATTGGCTCTAAGAGCACCTTGCAAGAGCCTGGCGACGATGAGAAGTAAACATTTGTCTAAGCAGAAGGCAAATTGTTGAAGGCAAAGGTGGCTTTTTTAAGGCTCTATGCTTTGTTAATTCTGGAAACTTTTAAATTATTAATTTACCTCATTTAGCAATGGCAAGGTGATTTGCTTGAGTAGAGTTATCTCTGGGTTTGCCGAAAATGAAGGGTTGGGCCGACATAAATTTTGGTTATATAAGGTTTAGGGCATAATTTGAGTCTTGGAGAGCACTGAGGTTGGTCAAGTTGAATTAGTTTCAACTCAGTTTTATCAGGCTCACAAAATAAGATTTAGATAAAGCATGAAAACCAAATTTTTTTCTGATGGACAGGCTAAGAAGAGGAATTGGTCGCCAAGTACTTGTTCGGAGTGATGTATTCTTGTCATAACACAGCCAGAATAAATTGGGTTAGGAGAGAACTGGCGGTATTTCAGATAAAAAAATACACACAATGAAGTATTTACATTTAAAATAATTGATACCAATATGAAGGGCACCCTGAGGCTAATATATTTTCCGAGAAACACGTTTTCTGACATGGCATGTTATTTTCGGCTTCGAACTGGGTTCGATCAAATTGGGATGGCCAAGTTAAGTCTTGTGCCATGTTAGGCAGTTCAGGGGCCTAGTGGGGGGTAAACCAGGTCATGCTTGTTTGGGCATTAGAGACAGGGTTAGGCTGGGGAAGATGTTTTCGGCAGTGGCGTTGCAACTGTGGCGTGTCCCCTTCCCCGGGATGTAGCGCATGCTCCAGCCAAGAGTGGAGAGGCGGAGCAGATGGACTACCTGTGCAAGTGGGACGGTCTCCCGTACTCCGACTGCACCTGGGAGGACGGGAACCTGATGAAGCGCAAGTTTCCCCGGGTGATCCGGGAGTACCATGCCCGCCAGAAGTCCCAAAAGATCCCCAGTAAGGTGTGCAAGGTGGGTTCGAAGCTTCTCCCGCGAGAAACGCTGGCCGTAAACCGGCTGTAGGCCGGCTGTACGTCGGGTGGTCCCGATTGTAAACTAGTCGCGTTTCAGCTTCAGATTGGGGATTTCTCCTTGTGTGGCCTAGGCTTCATTGGTCAAATTTGGCGGGAAATGGGATCGTGACCGTGCTTCTGTTTTATTGGAGTTCATTTTGGTAAAATTCAAAGAGTGTTTTCAGGAGTTTATATAATTTATGAGTAGTTCGGAGTTTATTGGAGTTTATTTTGTTGAGTCCTAGTGTTCTGAAATATGACGTTTATTTGGTTCTTACTTTATAATACTAGTTACAACTCTCCAGGCTTGTAGATAAAAAAAAAAAGCAGTGTTCACGAATGCATCAAAGACAAATACTGAGTTTATTTATTTTTGGTAAATCACTAGCTCTTTTGTCTTATAAGATGCCCAAGTAGCGTGGTCCAAATTCGAAGCTGGAACAATGGGTACCGCAATTTAGGTTTAATTTTGTTGTGTCCGAGAGAAAAATAACCATTGCTCGTTTTTATGAAGGGACGATGATGATAAGCCCTACGAGCACATTGGTCAGATGTCACCACCCTAAGCAAGGCGCACACGAAGGCATCCTAGTTTTATACTAAATTGTGTCCCGACACTTTCTTTTCCCTTTTGTTAATCGCCCTAAATGTTGGACGACCAGGTGCTGAAGGTGCGCCCCAAGTTTGTTCCCCTCAAGACGCAGCCATCGTACATTGGCGGGGAGCAGAAGCTGGAGCTACGAGACTACCAGCTGGAGGGCCTCAACTGGCTGGCCAGCTCCTGGTGCAAGTGGGTGCCACTCTTGCGACTCATTCTCTCTTCGTGTCAGCATGGTCTTGTTCTGAACTCTGAAATTACTGGCAGTATATTGGGCTCCTCTTGTTTGTTATCGTAATGATTATGAAAAAAGTTCCGCTACAATCAGTCGGTCGTTATTTATTTATTCAGCCACAGTTCTTGCATACTAGTTCTCTGCATTCTCTCTCTCTCACTTTCTTTATATACTGACGAACGCATACTGTTCTTGAGTAGATGTCTTGTTCAAAGCCACCAACTGTTGTCCCTCTTTCCAGCTATAAACATCCTTGACCTTTGAAGGAACCTGTTTGCTAGGTCTTTCCTTATTCAGCGTTTTTACCCTTTCCCTCACTACCTGTTCAGAATGGTTTTCGTGGGACAGCAAAGACCGTTTTGGAAGTTTAGAATGCTGAATTCTACATTCTGTATAGTTAGTTAACAGCTCCACTAGTAAATAGCACCTTGTTGGGATGCGGGGAAAATAAGGTTACGCGTGCGACCGAGTCGGGCCTTGGGAAAATCATTCAGATCATCGACTTTGTCTTGAAAGCTTAAAATAATGAATTCAGCATTATGCAGTCTTAACAACACCACTTAGGGAACTGCAGGGATAATAGGGTGACCCTAGCAGACAAGGTGGTCCTCAAATGACCATCCAGACCATCAACTTTGACTTGAAAACTTGGAATGCTGAATCCAACACCGTGCATACTTGACGGCACCGCTTAGTGACCGCTCCTCCCCTGTTTGGGCGACCGCAGGGAGAACGGGGTGATCCTTGCGGACGAGATGGGTCTGGGCAAGACCATCCAGACCATCAGCTTCTTGACATACCTGTTCAACCAGCACGCCCTGTTTGGTCCCTTCCTGCTGGTGGTGCCCCTGTCCACCATGACCTCTTGGCAGAAGGAGTTCACCCAGTGGTCCCCCGAGATGAACGTCGTTGTCTACCTCGGAGACGTCAGCTCGCGCACCATGGTCGGTGGTCTTCGCTCGCCCTTCTCTTTTCTTTTTTTACGGCGACAGCTGTTAGAACACAGTGTGTTTATGAACTAGATTTCGTGCGAAAAGTGATATGCTCGAGCGTGGCGAGGAGCTGCTGCACGCGGTTTAAAGGGCCGTTCAAACGGGGCGGATTTTTTGCAGTCGCAGCATTTGCTGTGCAGGAAGTGAAGGTCTCCTTTGGTTCCGCTTCGCTTTTCCGCGTTTTCTTTTTGTTGGAGGAAAGCTTCCCTTTGCTCGCGTCCTTGCACAGAGGCTTAGACCGTACACGTCATGGGGTTCTGGAGAACCACTTGCGCGCTCTGCTGGCTGTCGTCGAGGCCTACACTTTTGTCGTGGGTTCCCCTGAAAACAAGAAAGGGGAAGAGACGACAGTGAGGAGGAAAGCCATGCTGTTTGCGTGGTTCGTGTCCGCACTGAAAACAGACGCACGCGCCGCAACTTCAACATTCTTTTTAGAAAAGTGTACGCTATTTGGCCAGTCCTTAAGACAACATAGGAGGCAGTTCATAAGCACACAAAGCATATATAGAAGCCTACTTGGTCATAATTATTCAAAGTTTGTCATAACTGGTGAGGTTTCTGACGAAGCGGCATGGTGGGAATCGAACCCTGAACCGTGCAATCCGCAAGCCGATGACTTTGTCCGACGCCACTGGGACGAGGCAAATGGGAGAGCAAACAGCTGGACTAAGAAAGCCTGCAGTAGTAGGTGACTGTCGACTTGCGCAGCTGACTCTCCGAATGACAAAACTCGCTGCATAATTTTATGACATCACGGGTCACAAATAAAATTACGGTTGTCTCGATCATTCTAATAAACTCAAAGAATAAATGAGTGTGTTCTGCATGCAACGGCATCCAGAACCAACGAATACATTCTATAACCAAGTATAGCTTGTCGTAACGTACGCCTAGTGCATGCATGACACATTCTGTGCTCTCTCAGAGTTTGTCAGAATGGTTAAGACAATTTTTTCTTATTTGTGAGGTCCTGGGGTGGGTGTGTCACATTACATCAGGGTCGTGGCTTGCTAAGTGTACTGAGGGATCATTGTTATGCGTCACTGTGATGTCACAGTGTCACGTGATAGTATGACGGTCACAATAAACTTGTTTTTACAGTTAAGTGGATTTTTACTATGACGCTCTTTTGCACTTGTGAAAGTCTAGAAGCTGTTTGTGGGGGAGGCTTGCGGTTTTCTTAGAAGGAGCATTCCACGGATGTCAGCTGGTATCACTTGGTTGACTTGTGTGTGGGTGGTCCCGTGCAGATTCGAGAACATGAATGGTGCCACCCTGGGAACAAGAGGCTCAAGTTCAATGCCCTCCTCACCACGTATGAGATACTGCTCAAGGACAAGGTGAGGAACATTTCTTATTCGATGGGAGCTAGAAGTTGCTCGCTCTTGCGAGAAAAAATAGTTTTCTATTAAAGGAGGTCGGAACTACGGTCTTGTCTGAACCAAATACCTGGAACCGGTTTGTGGGGAAGTGTGCTAACAGTTGGTTGAATTACCGCTAAGGATAGAATTGCTGCAAGTAGAGTGCAGTCTTCTTGGAACAGTACATTTTTCTGTAGATTGCTGCGACGATAAGTTCCAATGGAAAAACAACACTGTTTTCCTGCAGGCATAGCGTATTTAAATGTTGCTCCTTTTTGAACAATCTACTGGTATGACGGATCTTCTGCGCTGCTAAGGAATGTGTTCTGAGTAGGCTACAGATTTTCTGATGTTTGTTTTTGGCTAAAATTTGCTATACTGCTAAGCCATAATTCATTTTGGTGGCATCCCAAACAGGGAAGTTGTGATCTTCCCTGGATGAGAAATAAAATGAAGTCAAGTAAGGATACTTTTAGTGTGGATCATACTTATACCACAGTTCCTTGTAATAAAAGTCGCTTGAACTGGTTTCTGTTTAGTCTAAAAGGTGGCTTACTCCAAACTTTATAGTAGTGAGCATCATGCATTCAGTTCAAACCTAAAATCGCCTTGTTTCAGTGGGCCACTGTAGTGTGACATTATATTATAACCAGTATCTGGGAGACAAATGTTTCTGGACACAAAATAAATATATAGATAAAATAACATTTTGAAGCAACCCAAGATTGAGGATTATGAAAGTTGACACAGAGAGGAGAGAAAGAATAACAATAAGAATGATTAGAGCCTCCAGGTTAGGAAATGACTCGTGCTTCGACACGCAGAGCTTCCTGGGGGCCGTGAACTGGGCGGTGCTGGGTGTGGACGAGGCACACAGGCTGAAGAACGACGACTCGTTGCTGTACAAGTCGCTGTTTGAGTTTGACACCAACCACCGACTGCTGATCACGGGCACACCCCTGCAGAACTCCCTCAAGGAGCTGTGGGCCCTGCTCCACTTCATCATGCCCAACAAGTGAGGACTCGTTTAAGAAACTCAGTGTTGCCATGATTCCTTCTTTTTCCTCTGGCGTACGGAAGAGTGCCAAAGGCGATGCTGAAAATTTGGGGGGGGGGTTTGAAGATCAGTGGGGAAGCAAACAACACTGGAGCAACGACAAAGATAGAGCGTAGTGCAGTACTGACATGCTTGTCTTGTGTTTGACACCGTTCTCTTTGTCGTCGCGGGATTCTACCAAAGTCTTGGTGCGCGCAAGAGAGCTGACGAGTGCAACATGCAAAAGTCGGTGGCTGCTGCACGAAGTTTTGAACAGGCTTGTTCGCTCGCAATGTAATTGTAAGCACGTGCAAGGCTAGCTCAGTTGGATCGCTAGCCACGGCAGTGCTCCTGGTTCTTGGGCCTGTTTTGCTCACCCTTGCATAGCCTTGCTGTACGGCAAAACGGTTGCATACAGCCTCAACGGGTAACCTCTTAGATTGCGTATAAGCTTAGAAGGTTCTGCAGTATCAGAGCAAAAATCCTCGAGCCATATACCTAAATCAGAGCTGTATAAAAGCTGTACAAGAACCTTTTGGGCGGCGTAATAATTTAGAACTTTCTTACAATAGGAGAGCGAAGGCCCTCGAGCCACATTCCCAGCCTTTCCTAAGTAACGCGGGTGCGTGTCTGAGCGTCTTGGCTCTCTTTGTTTCTCGGGTGCAGGTTCGACTCGTGGGAGGAGTTTGAGGCGGAGCACAAGGAGAGCGCGGACAAGGGCTACACGAAGCTGCACAAGCAGCTGGAGCCCTTCCTGCTGCGCAGGGTCAAAAAGGACGTGGAGAAGTCCCTGCCGGCCAAGGTGGAGCGCATCCTCCGGGTCGAGATGACCTCCATCCAGAAGCAGTACTACAAGTGGGTCAATGTGCTTTTGAAGTCCCCGCGTCAACAGAGACGACTCGAGGCTGCTTTGAGTGCGATTGGCTGCATCACGATGGTGTGCAACCGAGTAGGACGAGAGAATGACAGAGAAGCTGCCAACACGGTGGCGCCGTCTGTCGGGCAGCCCTGGAAACTTTTCCAATCCGTGTTTAACCGGACTGGAGGTTTTGCGGCATTTGCAATATCAGATTTACGCAGCGCCTACGACAAGTGGTTGCTCGTAACGTCAGAATTATTTTGGGCCCATAGTGAAGGAGTGACGCGTAAAAGACTAGAAAATGTATATGCCGGTCGGATGCGTTCCCTCTTTGCGAGCCATTACAAGCTGTTGCGTCGCGGTCGATTGCACTCGGACAATAAGCCTTTAGGGTACGGGGATGCGACGAAGTTACAAGGCTAAGTTCCAGCCCGTGGATTCAATGCCTTGGTAAAGTTGCGTGCAGTTCAACAAAAGCTTTTCTGGACACGGGGGTATTGTTCATGTGGTGTGTACATCCCCCATAATATTTGAGTTTCTTTGCGTGAAAGTGATATTGGGCTGCTCTTCGAGTACCGTCGTTAACGTTGGTTTTTTTTAGCGCAACCTACTTGAGAAGTTGGGCTCTGCCAATCGGCGTGTAGAGGGGAGCACGAAATCCGGCGACTGTGTTCCGTCCTTGAGATGCCTTTGTTCCGGCTCTGTGTCGTGTTGCTCCAGGTGGATCCTGACCAAGAACTACAAGGCCCTGTCCAAGGGGGTAAAGGGTTCCTCCTCGGGCTTCATCAACATCATGATGGAGCTGAAGAAGTGCTGCAACCACGCGGTCCTCATACGGCCCCCCGAACAGCCCGCCGTCAACAACGTCGACGCCCTACAGGTGAGGATCGTGGGGTGGCCATATCACTTTGAGATTATGCTAGTTAGGAAAGAAGATGTTATGGTAGATTTATTGTAACGAGTCGAGTACCGCTTTAATCCGGTTACTGTAATGTAGTTGCCGATAACACTGGTGAAGGTGCCACATTGGTTCAATATTCCCAGCATCCACCGAGCCTTACTGACAGTACTTTGCTGTAAGCTTGTGCAATTACATACTTACTAAATTTTAATAAGGAAGTTGAGGTGATGTTTCAGTGCTAATGACTCAACATAGATTAGTTTTTCTAAGGTTGCCAATCTCTCCGCTGCCTTCATTTATTTTCTCTTTCTCAGTTTTGCTTCATTACGTCCATATCTTCACTTTATTGGCCCTTACGATAGTGTGATTCTGCCATAAATTCTGTTGGTAATGCACTCATATTCCCAGATTGGACTTCTCGTGAAACGGCCCGGATGTAGCAATGTTGCAACAACGGTTTTGCGACGTCTCGAGGTGGCCCAATCTGTCCTAACGGTTGTGACGATTCTTCCCTTGCAGCAAATCATCCGGGGCAGCGGCAAGCTGCTGCTACTGGACAAGCTGCTGTGCAGGCTGAAGGAGACCGGCCACCGGGTGTTGGTGTTCTCCCAGATGGTGCGCATGCTGGACATCATTGCGGACTACCTGCAGCTGCGCCGGTTCCCCTTCCAGCGGCTGGACGGCTCCATCAAGGGCGAGCTGCGCAGGCAGGCCCTGGACCACTTCAACGCCGACACCTCCCAGGTCGGTGGCCTCCTCACGACAGACTCGTGCTCTCAAAGCGAGGTTTTAGATGCGGGGCATTTATAGGGACCACTCTTGGCGGTTTTAGGTGTGTGCCTGGGATGCAACCTCGACGATGGCGTCACGGTGTTTGTAACGGTTGGTGTCTGTCAGTGGTGCTTGAATGATGACGAGTGCTAAGAGAAGAAACTCTGGGGTCATTGGTTTTTGTGTGACACTGCAACATCACGTGACAGTGATGTCACTTGTGACATCATACATGGGAGAGTCACGTGGCATTGTGACGTCATTTGACACTAACATCACAAGACACCGTGATGTCGCACCAGTGAGTCTCAACTGACAGTAGGCATTGTCCGCACTCAGATTCTCGGTCGTCGTGCCTGATCATTGCAACGTGTCTCCTTTGCCTAAACTACGCTCGCTTCGACAACATTTTTTTTTTTTTTTCCTTTTATTTCGGCCAGGACTTTTGCTTCCTGCTGTCGACCAGGGCGGGCGGCCTCGGCATCAACCTGGCCACGGCAGACACGGTGGTCATCTTCGACAGCGACTGGAACCCTCAGAACGACCTCCAGGCGCAGGCCAGGGCCCACCGCATCGGTCAGAAGAACCAGGTGCGTGACTGACGACGAGGATATCCCTAGAATCGGTACCCGCGCACACACTTTTTTGCGACGACCGACGCGCCGGGCGAAGATCGCCTTTTGACTTGCGCTCTATGGATGCAAGGCACTCACTCTGAGCAGCGGTTAGCCAAAGTAAAACAATAATTTCGGAGATCCACCGGTGACGACGTTTTGAGGGGGGGAAGGGGGGGGGAGGAGGAGGTACAGGTTTTCTCTTCTAGGTGGTGTCGGTGCTACAGAGAGCGAGAGTTTTGTTTTCTTTACCGACAAGTTATGTCAGAATTGACCTCTGAATTGAGCGTTTGGTTGCTTTTCTAAACTGTACATTCAGCTTACATCGTCTACCGTTGACCGTGGTTTGTATTATGCCCGTTTGCAGATACCTCTGCTTTGATCTATGTTCGGAGAGGCCGTTCTTTGTTATGCAGTGCTGAGAGCTGTATTGTTATATGGCAAAGAAAGTTGCCAGCAGGGTATTTACAGAGCATTCCTCCGTTTGTCGCTAGAGGGTTCGGTTTTATGGGGTTTTTCGCACTAAAAGGTGGTGCTCTGTCTATAGGCGAGAGTATGATGCGCATAATTTAGATTGAGCTCGATGACGTCCCCGATAAAAGGACTGCACCTAGACAAAGTGTGTCTGTTAGTAGCTGCATACTCATTTTACATTGTTGCCTTAGACACAGTTCAATTTTGCGTCGAAGAGATGTCTTGTGGCTCGCGTTTGCGAGCACAACTCTCGGGGTTCTCTCTGCATTGAGACGACTCGTTGTTGTGGGCATTTTAGGTGAACATATATCGCCTGGTGACGAAGAACAGCGTGGAGGAGGACATTATTGAGCGGGCCAAGCGGAAGATGGTGTTGGACCACCTGGTGATCCAGCGGATGGACACCACGGGGCGCACCGTGCTCTCCAAGAGCAATGCTCCGTCCAGGTGAGTTGGCGACGTCCCGCAAAACGGTCGGCATCTGGGTTAGTTCGGAGTTGCGTCGCCCGGGGCTTGAATTGCGATGTCGGGACGGGAGTGCGAGGCTTGGGTGTAGAATGCTTTTGACCTATCGTACAAACCTGTTGCAACAGATAAATTGTCCAAGGTAATGTGGGGGTTTCCTTAAACTCATTTTTCACTCCGAATTTGAAATTTTATCTCCAGGATATTTTTTGAGGAATGTCGCTCTGGAAACTTTCATGCGCATTTTAAGCCCACGGATGGGGTGTCATTTATGGTGTGGACCCTTTTGATTGGCTGCAAGTAATTCCGCACTAATTGTGTGGGCTTATATGGAAACATTACTGCCGTTTGTGCAATTGTGCGGTTGCGGAAGGTTTTCTGTAGATACGGTGGATTATTAAATGAACTAAATGAAGGATGGACCATTTTATTAAATAATTATTGAGACATGCCGGTTATGGTAGTTGCACTGCTGGCAGATGCCGCTACAAATTGCTTGCATCATTGTTTCGTCCAGTTGGTGCTCACACCTTGTGTAACTTGTGGTTGCGTGAAATGAGAAGGAGTTGATCGATTCTTGCATTGCCCCGCAGCAACACCACGCCGTTCAACAAGGAGGAGTTGGCAGCCATCCTGAAGTTTGGAGCGGAAGAGTTGTTCAAGGAGACGGAAGATGGGGATGAAGAGCCTCAGGTGGGGTGTTTGCTCCCTTCTTTTCCCGCAAGGGGCGAAAGTAACTGCAGCTCTCTTTATTTGGCTCAAATCTTGCGCTCACTCTCACGTAGTAGAACTCTGTTGATGGGTTTATCAGGAGACTGTGGTAAAAAAAATCTATGATCTTGTAAAATGTTGAAACTTTGAATGTTTTTGGGAACCTATAAATGAGACAAGAAGCAACTTTCATACAGCAATTTATTTTTTGGGGACTTCTACGTCCATGGAGAACTACTATATTTATTCAAATATAGGCTGATGTTTTTCTTTGCTTTTTAAACTCTCCTTCAAAATTGGAGGCCACTCTATTATTGCAAAAAAAGAATGTTGACCCACGAGTTTGAGCAAAATTTCTTAGCCCATTGGCTAAATCTTAGCACGCCCGTGTGAAGCGGTGAAGCCTCATGCACTTGCTGGTGCAAAACGGTGCAATCTGGTGCATTGGTACCGTGCGGAGTGCACAATTATGAATCTGCCTGAAATTAAACTAGCGGAGTCGGGAAAACCAAACTCAACGGAAGCGCATGTGCACCAGAGAAGGAATTGGAAAAATAAACAGGCCATTGCGAAAGCTCGAGTTCGTTTCAAGCCTAGTCCAAGGTCGTGCCTGTTTGGGCGAAAAGCAGTGTGCAGAAATACAGAAAGGTGAAAGGAAAAATGTAAAACGAAGAGAAAGGAAGATGGTGGCCACGACCATCTCACCAGTAGTTTCTGGACGCAAGAACCGCGAAGGCAAGCGCACCAAATGGGAAAATGATACGCGCGTCACCGTGCGAGTTTGACGGAAGCACCGTTCACGATTGTAACAGCGAGGAACATGTATTAACGACATTCTACCATACTAGTTCGGGTTTCTGGGTTCGCTTTTGAGCCGCAAGCGATCAGCAACTGTTATGAATGCTTGTCGTTCCACTTGTGCGAGCAGTTCTTGACGATTTCTTTTCCTTGGCAGGTGGACATAGACGAGATCCTGCAGAGGGCGGAGACCCGGGAGGAACAGCCAACGACGGTTGGAGACGAACTCCTGGGCTCTTTCAAGGTATTCTTATTTTGAGCTTAAAGCCAGAGGAGGCCCTTCATTTTCTCGTGTTTTTGTTTGGGAAACAACTACCGTAAAATCTCGAGCAAGCACCCACTCTGAATTTGGAGACAATCGCGTAAAACTGCGGGTTGGGCACTTTTTAGGTTAACGATATGTAAAGATGTCTTCTGTGTACTATCCAAATGTTACAATATTGACAGGTGGGCACTTATTGGGGCATGAGCTGTTGCTCTGTATTTTACGGTATTTTCAATTGCCGTTTTTGCTTGGCTGCAGGTGCACTGATGCGTCTCGGGGATCAGTGAGTGTTCTGGGCACATGTTTTAGTGGTTTTATTAAGAGTGGGGCCTTATAGATAATGGCTAAAAACTGATTGGTCGGAAATCGGTGATGGGCCTCTTTAGTTTTGTCCGATTTCACGGGTGTTGGAGCTCAGTAATATAGTTCTGCCTGATCAGTGCATTTAGTAAACCTGTGAATTGTTCGAGAAGTACACTAAAGCTAGGACACCGATCAATTAATTAATTAATTATTTAATTTGTTTAAGCATTTTTTGCTTTTCTGTTTATTTTTGCCAGTTTAAACTTGATCAACCTCTGAAAGATGTTGAGGGAAATTAAGAAAAAAAACACAGGCAAGCTAGTCAACTAACTCCATAAAAAAAGAACCCAAGACTGGGAACAAATGAGAAAAAAAAACATTCTTTCGTTGTGCATGTTTGTGTTCTAAGGTCACCCCATGGAAGTTAGATGGTGCTTCTTGTGTTCTTTGTTATCTTTTCTGTAAGGAAGTTGGGCGATGGTATAAACGTGACGGTTTGCAATAAAAATGCTAGCCGTGTTTTGAGACTTTGTGTGTGTGCTTGTCTTTTTTTTTTTATTTGTTCCCAGTTGTGGGTTTTTTTGTTACGGGGTAGAGGGAAAAGTGAAAGACTTCGGGTTTCGCTTTGGCCTCTCTCTCTGAAGGACGTTGGTAGAACGCCGATTTTTCCGTGGTCTCCTCAGGTTGCCAGCTTCAACTTCACGGAAGAGGAGGAGGTGGGGGCGGCGGTGGCCGGTGCGGAGGAAGACTCCTCGTCGCAGAGCAAGGACTGGGACGACATCATTCCCGAGGCGGAGCGCAAGAAGGTGGAGGACGAGGAGAGGCTCAAGGAGGAGATGGAACTCTACCTGCCCCCTCGGAGCAGGAAGTCCTTGCACCAGGTGAGGAGAAAAAAACGTTGCCGGTGTGGGGTTGTTTTACAACAATAGCTGTGACAGACTTACCGGCTGCCTTCAAGGCTTCGGCGTTGTACCAGGCGGAAGAATCCGTCTCATGTGCGCTTGCGCCGCCACGTGAAGCTAGGCAAAGCACGCGCACTAGGCTCTTGCCAGCCAGGCGGCGGTGTCTTCTATGATTGGCAAGTTGTGTCGCCATGCCGTAAAATATTGAAAGCACCCATCCCACTTTCGCCGAAAACTAGGTTAGTCTAGATGTGGGTGCTTGTCCGGTCAAATTGGTAAAAACCAAGATGGCGACCCATAAAAAGCTTTGAAGGTGGAGTGAACGGAATTGGAGAAAGCACATTTATTTTTGCACAACATTCCAGTCGCCGCCGGTGGTCTTGTGGCCACCAGAACGGGGTGAATATTTCAGGCTGGTGTCGTCGCTTTGTAGGGGTGGTGCTGCTTAATGTATAATTTGCGAAAATTTAAAGTTTGGGAAATGTTAATAGTTTGCGCTTCCGCGGTATATTACGGTCCATTCCTCATTATAGAACACGATTTGCGTGTGCCACAGATGTAAAGCAACCTACCACTTGAAACGGTACCCGTCTGGACTTCATTTTGGGCATAGATGACGACTCGCGTGTGCAGTGTGTTCCCTCTCCCACATAGGTCAGTGACCACAGGGCTGTCTTGCACGCGATCGAGTAAATAAATAGTGTATATGCAGCTGGTCGCTGTCACTTTACACGCTTGAGCAAAAAGCTGCGGATTTTTATTCTTGTTGTTGCATTTATGCGAGTTTGTTTTTCAGATACTGGGAAGAGTTGCAGTATAGCCCAATACTAAATTTGTGCCCGTTTTGAGTCAAAAGTGGTATATATATATATCGACGCCGGTTCACACATTGTCTTTTAGTGCAGTTGACTGCGTCGCAACTGTTTGTGACAACTTGTGATGAGAGCACGCTGCTGTTATTTATCAGGTAGCTCTGGAACGCTATTTGCATGTATTTGACGTATCATTCTTTTATACTAGCGCAAGACAATTTTCAAATTGTTATGAGCGACCATTACTGAAAAACCTTCAGTCCAGTTGTACACTGTTGCAGGGTAGATTGGGTTTGATCCGTGAAGAGAGAAACTCCCAAAATGCTTACGCGTTGTGGGGATTGTGATCCCTCAACATTCTGTCGCGTCAGCGTTTTGGAGCGCCGTGGCGGCCGCGCCGACGTAGCGAGAGGTGGCGCTGCTTACCACTGTGAGTGGCTTCCTCCTCTCCCCCTTGGGGCGATTTCCGTAACAGACCCCCGCACAAAGGAGATCGACGTGTCGCTCCTTGATTGGCCACTTCGCCCCCGCCGTTATCTTAAAACCAGCGGACAGCAGTCTCGCTTGTCTCTTCTTCCTGGGATTCGGCGGCGGTGACAACGGGGAACCTTCCGGCGCACCGGTGAGCGTTTACCCCGTCCTTTGTACCTTTGTGAACGACCGTTCGGCCGTGGGCGATCTCCACACCGACGGCGTTCACCAGCTTATTGCTGCTGTGTTCTTGTTATTTGTTTCATTGTAAATAAACAGAGTTTATCACCGTTACCAACGTGACTGGTGTCTTTTGCGCTCAACGAGCAGCATGCCACGCGAGTACGAACCCGCTTCGCGGTAGAGCGTCTCGCCGCGAACGTGGTACTCCCAAAGGCAGTGGCCCTAAGGAGAACCCCAATTTGGCGCCCCACGTTGGGCGCCAAATTGGGGTTCTCCTTAGGGCCACTGCCTTTGGGAGTTCCACGTTCGCGGCGAGACGCTCTACCGCGAAGCGGGTTCGTGCTCGCGTGGCATGCTGCTCGTTGAGCGCAAACAAACACCAGTCACGTTGGTAACGGTGATAAGCTGTTTATTTACAATGAAACAAAATAACAACAAAACAGCGACTATAAGCTGGTGAGTGCCGTCAATGTGGAGATCGCCCACGGCCGAATGGTCATCCACAAAGGTACAAAGTACGGGGTAAACGCTCACCGGTGCGCCGGAAGGGTCCCCGTTGTCGCCGCCGCCGAATCCTAGGAAGAAGAGCGAAGCGAGACTCCCGTCCGCTGGTTTTAAGATAACGGCGGGGGCGAAGTGGCCAATCAAGGAGCGACACGTCGATCTCCTTTGTGCGGGGGTTCGTAACGGAAATCGCCCCAAGGGGGGAGAGGAGGAAGCCACTCACAGTGGTAAGCAGCGCCACCTCTCACTACGCCAGCGCGGCCGCCACGGCGCGCCGAAACGCTGACGCGACAGAATGTTGAGGGATCACAATCCCCACAGCGTACATTGCGGTCGTCTTTTATGTTTGTGCTACTTGTGCCGTCGCTAACACAACTTCCTCCCCATCTCCTTCTGGTCGGGGGTCTTCGTTGGCAGACGGCGAATTCTGACAGCGAAGATGGCGGCCGTTCGGCGCGGAGGCGGGACCGGGACCGGGGCTCAGGAGGCGGGTCGAACGGCTCCGACGACGAGGGACGGCCCCGCAAGAGAGGCCGCCCCAGGGTGATCCCACGCGACACGGTCAAGGGCTTCACGGACGCCGAGATCCGTCGCTTCATCAAGAGCTACCGCAAGTTCGCTGCTCCCGCCAAGAGGCGAGTGTGCACGAGTCTGGAACCTGAGATTGTCTTCCAGGATTGCTTCTCCTGTCTGGGGTTGTTGGAGTGAAACTCCGGTAGTAAGGCGATGTAGCAGTCGCTGATATTAGTTTGGCTAGGAGTTCGAGCGAATTCAAATGGCAGTCGTTAACATTAGGTTGTGGAAGTCGTTTGAGTGAGTTTGGATACCAATTGTTCGTTGTGAGCTTGAGCGAGTTCAGATGGTAAACCGTTGGAACTAAGCTGGTTGCGAGTTTGAGCGAGTGGAATGGCAGTTGTCGACGTTACGCGAGGCGTTTGTGAGCTCGAGCGAGTTCAGATGGCGATCGTCGACATCCGTTTGGTTGCGTGTTTGAGCGAGTTTGGACGGCAGTCATTGACGTTGTGTCATTGGTGAGTCTGAGCTAGTCAAAATGGCAATCGTTGACATTGAGCTGGTTGAGAGTTCGAGCGAGCTCAGATGGCAATCGCTAACGTCAGTCGGCTGCGAGTTCCTCAGTTGTCTCACCTCCAGAATGAGCTTGTTATCTTCGGTGACGCGTGGGCGTCTTGTGAGCTTTGAGCGTGCACGCGGAACCAAAGCACGGCAGGAGGCAGCGAGTGCACGTACGAGGCCCAGCTTCCGGAAGAGACGGCCCGTCATTCTCATTCTGCTGGCAACTCTAGTGGCACGCATCGAGGAAACCCACACCCCGCTACAGTATAGACCACTTACAACGTAACCGCTTATAGTGCAGGACCGGGTATAACGCGGTTTTTTTAAACCACCGGTTCACCTCCCATAGAACTCCATGTAATTACATACCGCTTAAAATGCAGGCGCGCGAAGGGAAATACCGGTTATAGTGCGGTTTTTAGCACTGCCCGCCGACCGCACCGATGACCGGAGCAGCGAGCTCGCTTCCCTGGGCGACACTAGATAACGGCGCTGACGGCGCGAGCCGCAAACTGCACTCGCGGGGCAAGGAGGTTGCTGGAAAACGCGGGGAGAAGCGAAGAGAGAGGCTTCAGTTGCCATAGCGACGGAGGGACGCACGCACGAGTCGTTCACGTGCGTGCGTCCCTCCGCTGCGTTGGAAACAAAGAAACAAACAACCGCAACGACAGACCAATCCCAGGTCGAGGAGAAGTGTTCGCGCGCATTCCATGCCGGTCGCGGGCGTCGGTTGTGATCGTCGTCGTAGACGGCATGCATCTCATCGTTCTGCGTAAAAGCGCTATCCTTGACTCTGAATTTTCGTTGTGTGTCGCTATAACCCAGCGCGTACTAGAAGGGAAGATCCACCTACTCGTGCGGCAATGTGGCGGCGATGTGGCGGCGCTCTCAAGACGGCAGAAACGCCCGTGTCGTCGTGTTTGTTTACTTGGACTACAGTGGTGATTTCTAAGCATTTGTGTCCTCGAACATCGCCCGGATTTCTTATTTGGCGCATTTCATGCGTGTGCTCAAGTTCAAGGTATTAGTGGCACGTACCGTATGAAGGATACGAATTTTCACGCGTTTTCATCTCCGGAGAAAAGTGATTAGGGTTAGCAATCCTGAACGCTCGCGACGTCCGTCCGGAACCCGCGACGCCGTTAAAAGGCTGCGCCAGGCAAAAGCCGCTAATTTCTTTTAAAATGTGTGACACACTTGAGACGTAACTGTACTAGTCTATTGAAATAAAGACTTTCCTCAAACTAAGCTTATTTTTCCATCTAACATAAAATAAATTCTTTTACAAAGGTAAGTTTTCTCATGGCATGTATTTTGGCCTGAAAAATTGATGTTTTGGTTATAGTGCGGTACCGCTTATAGTGCGGATTTTCGCGACTCCCGAGACATACGTTATATGCGGTCTACACTGTATTCCCATCCCTTCGGCGATTGTGGTGGCGTCGACGAAACTCGCCAAGCTAAAATTCGTCACACCCACTTTCCCTCTCAGGCTGGACGCAGTCGCCCTGGACGCGGAACTTCAGGAGAAGCCGCAGGCGGACCTGAAGCGCCTGGCCCACCTGCTCCACTCCGGCTGCGAGCAGGCGATGAAGGAGAGCCAGGCCGCGCCACTGCCGGGTGGCGCCGACGCCGGGGACAGCAACGCCGGCGGGACCCCGGCCAGACGCCGGCACCAGCGCACGACGTTCAAGCTGTCCGGGGTGTCGGTGAATGCCAAGTCGGTGCTGAGCAGCTACCAGGAGCTGGCGGTGCTGGACGCGGTGCTGCCGTGCACGGCCGAGGAGAGGCGGCACTGGACGCTCGACCTCGCCACCAAGGACCCCCACTTCGACACACCGTGGGGCGTGGCGGAGGACTCGAGTCTGCTCAGGTGAGGGACGACTCGTATGCCGTAGTTTCGCTTATTATTATTGTTATTATTGTTCTACCTGCTACTCTGCCGGATATGGTAAATGGGAAGCTTTACAACTTTTAATTGATCAACCATACTTCCTGGTGAACCATACTTCAAATCCATGTTTTGTTTTTTCCGGATTTTTCTTTTACTTATGTGCATATAAGTGTGAGTCCTAGCTATGCAAGATGTGGGACTTGTCGACATTTGAGACAAAGGAAGAATGGCAGAGCACGCGCCGGCAGCTTGCCTTTCTGGCGGTCCGAAGACATTTTCCAAGTGCAATGGCATAGGTTCGCGGCTGCAGCAACTCTACGCAGCTGCAGACCTATGCAAAGAAGTGCGACTTGTACAAGGCTATGACTTGCATGCCAACATTTGGTAGCATGTCGGAACGTAGAAGTCGGAACCGTTGCTTTGCTCTGGGGCTTCCTCGTGAATGGCGCCACCCAGAAAATGTGCCAATATAAAAAAAGCGCAAAAGAAAAAAGATAAAATTAAGAAAAAAGCGTGTGCATTTGACGGAAGTCTGGAAGTTGTTTGTTCGGCACGTGCTAGGAGTATAGCTTGTCCCCGGCATCGTTCCATGTTTGATTGCGTGATGCGACCTGCGGGGGTAGCTCGGATCTACTCGAGGAAGACGTTTGTTCGGCGCCCGCGTTCAGTCGGCGAGGAGTTTAGCGGTGCGTCGGTTTCTGGCCGGCACTTTCCTTCTTTTCTGTTTTAAGGGCGCGAAACCAGAAACGGTTAGGTGCCATCCATATCACTCCTTTCATGTTGAAACAAACTCTCCTCAACGAACGGGCGTGCAGGGGCATCTATGAGCACGGCATGGGCAGCTGGGAGGCGATCAAGATGGACGCGGGCCTGGGCCTGACGGACAAGATCCTTCCAGACGGGGAGCAGCTCAAGCCCCAGACAAAGCACCTGCAGAGCCGGGCGGACTACCTTCTCAAGATGCTGCGCAAGGTGCACGCGCGACAGGTGGCTCTCCAAGAGGGCAAGGTGGGTCCCATGGGCCAGTACGGGCAGTCGCGCGACCGCAGGGTCGATTGGTGGCGGTCTCGTCGGAAGCCGCTGTTACGAGATTTATTCCGTAAACCGGCTTTACCAAAGCGAGAGCCCACTGCACCTTTCATGTTATTGGAAGTCGTGTCCGATCTCGGGAGTTACTTGAACGGATAATAATGGGGTGTCTGCGAATCTGGAAAACTGGGGATTGTTGGGGAATTCGGCGAGTCTTGTAAAAGTCGAGAATCTACACCCCAGTTGGGAAAATCGATCGGGAAAATTTAGCTTTCCTTTTTTGAGCGACTGCAAATGACGTGCATCTGGTGCGAGGTGCGTCGCGTGCGACTTGACCAGCGTGCTCGTGGCTAAATCGCTGCTCGGAAACTAGAGCCTCGGCGGAACCTGAATCGCCTCCTTTTGAAACGGGTGCATCGAGACTTCTCCGCTTACGCTCGCACCAGTACGTTTGCCCGGTGGATTACTTAAAATGGGACATTTATTCGGGGAAAAATATAGAAGAATAGACTCACAAAATAAGAGGATCTGGTGCCTGGCCACTGCCCTGTCGTCTGTCAGATATGTCGGGTTTTCACGTACAATCTGCACTTCAAACATGTCCCGTTTCCTTGGGCGTTGGTCGGGAAATTTAGATAAAAATAGAAGAGGAAAACCCGAAACAGTTAGAGAATTTGGAAACGTCACTTTGGGAGACTCCCCGAATAAATAAATGAGACGGTCGCCTAAGACATGTTTTTAAATTCTGCGTGAATTGTAAAGTGATGAGTCAAGAAAGAGCAGTTTACTTACTGACCCGGGCTGCTTCGTTGGTGACGTTTTGTGCTGTCGGTAACGATCCGTCCCGCATTACCGTTGCGAGTTGGTGGTAACGGTGCCGTCTCTTGGTAGGAGAAGCCCAAACGCGGCCGAAAGACACGTCCAGAGAAGGTTCACCTCAGCAAGGCCATTGTTGACAACGACGACAGTAACGACAGCGACAATGCCTCGGTGAGTTTGATTCATCCAATCTGTGCTTTGTTGCGCGACAGGTAGCAATCTTCTTCGAGCCCCGTTAGATGTAGACATCTGCTGTGTCTGCCGCTGTTGCGCTCTTTCTGCGGTAGCGTCATTCTCTTAAATTAAATTAACTCATACAGTGAATGCACAGTTGGTGTGCTCTAGCTGTAATACGCTGTTTTTTATTGCCCCCTTTTTTTTTGTGCAGAACACAGCACAGTTAAGACAAACGAGCGGTCGCCATTTTGTTTCCCTGTTTGAGGGGCTGTTATCGAAACTACTATAATCCGTTTAACCTTACGACAAATTATAGGGAGTGCAACGAGCGATTCAATGCTGCGCTAGCGTCATGTGACATTTGGGAGGGGCGCAGCAACGTATGGGGGACATGGTCACGTGATACGTTCACAGCGCTGGCTCGGCTGGGATTATCTCGTCGGCTGCAGTTCGTCGCAAGGTGAAATTGAGTACAGTGTGGTAGAAAGTTAAATTTTTCGTCCCACTATATTTTCCCCATGACAACTAAGTTTTCGTCACTTGATTCTAAGCGACGGGGGGCGGCACCTGCAAGCCATTGCTTGCGCACAAACATCGCTCGACATGAATAGACAAACGACCTTTCTAGACTTTATTATTTGTAGACAAAACGATGCAGATACGCTCGATTCGGATTCATGGCCGAAGGCCAGTTACGGATACGTCGCAAATAAAAAGTAATGCAGAAGTGTACGGCTCTAGGCACGCACTGTCGAGAATAAAAAGTAACCGCGTAAGAATTTGGTCAACAGAATCGGTAGGTACCACTAAAGCCGTGGTCACACCGTCGATACGTCGTACAGGAGACAGTTTTGCAGACACTGTCCGAGGCGCACTCCTTCTTCGTACGGTGGCCCTGTCATTTCAGTCGTTCAAAAACCGCCTTCGGACACGTTCGAAGCATACACACTTGCAGAAGCGAAGATGCTTTGCACATGCCCGAGGCGCTTCTGCAGATCATTCCATCGCGTCTTGACTTACGAGCAGCTTGACCACACAGTTTGAATATGTGCTAGCGACTACTACTAGATCACACGTCTTGGTGGCGGCAAGCGATTAGATTATGTACGTAGGCGACAGTGTCAGAGAACGGGGGAGGACGGTGTCGGCCGCTCCGAGCGTGCAGCACTCGAGCAACTCTGAATGAGCCCATGCGGTACGCGTCTGTTGCAGTCGACGAAACTGCCACGCAAACCCAAGGTGAAGGCGGAGGACGAGACTCACCAGAGCAACGCCGCGGCAGTGATCGACGGAGTCGCCAAGGGAGTCACCCCCGGGGGGCCAAACGTTCCCGAGGCGAAGCCCGGCGCGGAGGGGGGCCCGCCCAAGGCCAAGCGGAAAAAGAAGGACAAGGAGAAGGACAAGGCCAAAGACAAAACCAAGGCCAAGGATAAGGAGAAAGACAAGGATAAGGACAAGGAGGAGAAAAAGAAGAAGAAAAAAAAGGTGGGTGCGCTGACCGAAGTATCTGACGGCACGACGCTCCGGCTTCTCCGACGTCCTTCTTTTGCCACTTTGGGACTGGTTAGGGTGCGCGGGCGAGATGGGACGCTAAACGCGCTCGTCTAAGACCCGTTCCGGGCACCATAGTCGCACCCTGGCGCGAACCGATCTTGCGTCTTTAAGCGGTTGTTTGACACACGGTGCTTGCTTTGTTGCCGATTGCGGCACTAATTATACGTTTGATGCTTTGTGTACAATGCTGCCAATGAAGCTAGTGTGTGCCTGTTTTTTGCGTTGGCATTTGAATTGCACGTTCTATCGCGTTAATAGGATATTGGCTGTAGCAATGTATGAGATTGAGTGTATAGGTGAGCTTTGTGGGGCGAGGGAATGAACAGCAGCTGGGCCCGTCAAGTTCAATTTTATGTTTCGTATTATGTGTCTAGCTTGTTTCGAAGTTGGAAGCGACCGGCTAGAGTGATTGCTTCCTTTTGCTGTCACCCTTATAGTGAGTTTACTTGTACATTTGGGACGAGGGTTTCTCGTGCTTTAGTGTGTGAATAACCACGAAGCCCCTCTAAATCGAGGAATACATTTCATACACTGTAACTATTATCGCTGCGCTTCTAGCGTACCATTTATGCAAATCATTTTGTTCCCGTTCCTTTTTTTACATTGAGAAATCTGTCATTTATGCCTTTTCTACAAAATTTAGGATTAGTTGTCTGATGCCTAGTGTAATGCTCTATATGCCTTGGTAGTTTCGTCTGATTTCGAGTTCATTCCCGAATTCATTTGTTACGGTATTCGATGCTTGGGATAGAAGGATTTCTGAGCAGCGAGCATTTTCTAACGAAAACGGGATGAGCGAGACGCACATTTAGAGAAATGCACATCTGTATGTGCCGGTTAGTTTTTGGAACTTCGTCGCTACTTCGCGGCAAAGTTTGAGAGCCGGCGGGAAATCGGTTTGGCGGCGTCGGCTCGCTAGAAAGAGTAACGCCTTGCAGCCGGCCTCATTGTGGCGTTATCTCGGCCATTTCAGCACGAGACCCCCACGGAGGGCGGCACTGTGAGCAAGACCAAGGGTGCGAGGAAAGACCTTCCGGCGATGCACTACACCGCCAACGCCGCCCCGCAGGTGATAGAACCGACGGGCGACCTCGATCTCCAGCTGTTCAACGAGGTGAGCGGGTTGGAGGTGTCGGCTTGAAGGAGCCGCTTTTACGGCGACGTGAAGGCTCGCGACGGTCTTCAAGGGCATTTTGTGTACGCCTTAGTTCGTTATGTGGCGCGTCGCACAATGTTGCGATTCTCCGACCAAGGTTTGGTGGAGAAATTTAGCGGAAAATCAGTGTCGCACAACGTTAGGAGGTCGTGTGACATCGCAGTGCGATGTCGTGTCACTTTGTCAAGCGACATGACGGTGCCACACGAGCACTGTCTTACTCAATTTTGTGGACGTTGCTGGTGTTTGTGTCACAGTATGCATTGTGTCACAGTATGATAGATTGCCACGCGGCAGTGTAACTGTGCGGCAACATGCGGTTGCACCGCCGGCTCCGCACGATTTCCAAGAACAACTGAGCGAGCGGCGCGTGCTGCGCTCCCGTTCATTATTGGACGACGTCCTGCGCAAGCTGTGTGTGCATGCTTCGTGTCCACGCTTAGTGTGCACGCCTGGACAACTGCGCCCTCTCGTAACGAGTCAACAAGTGGATTACTACCTATGGCGAGTGTTTTCGCCGCGTCCTAGTTCTATGCTTGTTTCTTTCCGAGTCTCTAGTAACGGCGTCTGTTTTCGCCGGTTCCAGTGCAAGGAGAAGATGCGTCCCGTGAAGCGTGCCTTGAAGCAGCTGGACACCCCGGACTCGTCGCTCAATGACGACGAGCAGGTGAACCACACGCGGCTCTGCCTGCTCAAGATCGGCGAACACATCAACGAATGCTGCGCCGAGTACACGGACCCCGAAAAGAGCAAGCAGTGGCGTTCGTAAGAGCTCTCTCCTTTTCTCCACTTCGCTTGGCTGTCAACAGGTTCATGTTTTTTCTCGTACCCTTATTTGACCGCATCTGTGCCATACCTTCGGAGGGGGGAACGTGGCCTCGCAATCTCCCAGTTGTTGCACCAGCTGGAGGGTACGCGGTTGGAAAACTGGTGCCGTAGGTAGAGAAAACCAGTGATAGTTTCTTTTACTTTTTACTCGGATGAGTTTGTTCTTTGAAATTTTTACGCGAAGCTTCCACCACCTTCGGGCACCTCTGCGGTAAGTCGTAGTGCAATACTTTACTAAACGATTTATGCGGTTACTTTAAAGGCTCCACCTATATTCGGGACACTGCGGTATCTCGAACCTGTGTAGCTCATTCCCTCTCTTTGTATACCGTTTGGTTTTGTGTAGCTCGTGCCACTATGTAGCTTGGTCATCTATGGGCTCGCAAACAAAGACACTGTTATTATTATTATTATTATTATTATTATTATTATTATTATTATTATTATTATTAAATATTATTATAAGGAGGAGGAAGAGGGTAGAATGAACCTGTCGTGCTGTGGAGACGCCCAACAATGTGTGAACCCTCGGCGTTTGGGTGCAGGCACCTGTGGTCCTTTGTGGCCAAGTTCACAGAGCTGGACGCCAAGGCCCTTCACCGGCTCTACCGACACGCCCAGAAAAAGAACGAGGGTGGGGACAAGCCGGACAAGTCCAGAGAGTCGGACAAGAGGGACCACGACAAGCGGCCCAAGTTGCACGACGAGGTAAAAACGCCAATAACTCGTCCAGTTTTTTTACAGTTTTCTTTTTTAAGTTCTTGTTTGGTTCCAATGTCTGCTCGGTTCTTAGCTCACGACTGACTGTATACTCCGTTCACCCCTAAGCTGAGACTGCTGTGGAAGCTATGGTCTTGTGGGACCAATCAGCCATCTCCCTTTCGTTGCGGGAGTGTGGTCACGTGGCGAGAGAGTAAAGTATGGCTGGTCCAATGAGGACGTAGCCTCCGCCGCAGTCTCGGCTTGGGTGCAAATGGAGTATAGTTGCTCATGTGAGGAACCTCACCAGTTCAAGAGGAAAACTGACAACTGGTTGGTTATCACACTGTGAACGTGTGCTAGCGCACTACAACGTTCTGCCAGTCCGCTACGCGCGAGCTACGTGTCCCGCAGTTGCCTTGGTGAAACGGGCGTTCTCTTGTTTTCCGGTTGCGAAGGGGAGTCAGCAAGGCAACCAACACGGCGGTTTGCCAAACAGTCAGCACCAGCACGGAAGCCAGCACGGCAGCCAGCACAGCAGCCAACACGGGAGTCATGGAAGTCAGCACAGCAGCCAGCACGGCAGCCAGCACGGCGGCCAGCATGGCGGCCAGCACGGCGGCCACGGCGGCCAGCACTTTGGCCAGCACGGATCCAAGAGGCACGCCGAGGACGACCACGGGCGGCCCAGCAAGAGGCTCCACGAGGACAAGGGCAGGGACAGGAGGAATGAAAACTCGAGGTGAGAAAGGATACGTGGGTGGAAAAATCAAATGACGGAAAATTTCGCTCCTCCGTGGTTTACTCGAAAGAATTTTGTGGCTAAAACACGAAGGCCACCAAATTCTCTCGTCGTAGGCAATCACGAGGCACTCGGTTGCGCTCGAGCACAAATGTGTGAACCAGCTCTTTCACAACACTTCCTGTGATGTCGTTGCCATTTCGAAAATGCTTGATAGCTCGGCGCTATTGCAGGTTGCATGCCAGAGAAACGCCTCACTTGGCACATACTTAACAATCCTAGGCGCCTAACTTAGGCCTAATATGGTTTTGCTCCGAGGCATTACTTAATGCCAGAGCACTTCCTTTTTTTTACTGGCCATATAAATGTCCAGAGACACTGGATGACGGCCAACCTACCGCAAGTGAAGCCTGACTTTGGTGCTTGTTTGGTGAATTGGGGCAAAAGATAGCCAGTCTGTGGCCAAAGAAAGTAAAATATGACTCTTGGCTTCTTGCTTTTCAAAGGCACTAGATTCCCAGACAAAAACAATGTTTCGGCGCTAAGATCTTCACTACCCAGGATAGGACGCAGTTGGAGATGCGTTTCGGTCACCATAGGCACGACGGTCTGCTGCGCGTGCGCGACGACCGACCTCTCAGCTCTGGCGCGTCCGGTTTCAGCAACAGTCACGGCAAGGGGATGAGCGGCGGAGGGTCGTATCGGGACCGCGGCAGCAGCAACAGCTACCAGAAGGGTTCTTCGTCGGGCAACAGCTACAACAACCCGCCCCACCGGACGTCGTCGTCCAATGACCACCGCTGGAACCACGAGACGCCCTCTCCCAACTGGGACTACAAGGACAGGTGAGGACGGTCCCTGCACCTTGTCCTTGCGCTTCGTTTTCTCGCAAGTCGGAGCGCAGCCCGTGCCTCAAGCCGACGGGGCCAGTTCGGCGGTTCTAAAAGTGTCAGTATCGTGGCGTTCGTCATACTTCTGTGCCCGTGGCGTCGCCTGCATTACCAATTGAGCGCGGCAATGGTGCCGCGATCTGTGGCACGTCGTTGTGAAGCGGGGAGGCTTGTTGCGTGAGCACTGGTACGAAGCGGCGAAGCTTTTTACGAGAGGCGGGGGAACAGCGAATTCATTATTCGTAATTTTCGAGCGTTCGAGAAACTCGAGTAGTTTGAATTATAGAAGTGCACCGGAAATTGAATAGTAAACATTATTTTCAAATTATTCGAAGTTTCATAGATTCGCACACATCCTAGTTTCTACTCTCTGCATTTAGGTTTTTGTGCTTTAGCCTTTGACTGGGCTCTTCCTTGTGGGGAAACGAAGCATGATTTCGCCTCTTGCCATTTTTTCTTTGTGTCATGTTGTTTTGTCGATTAAGGAGCGAAGATAGAAAAAACCTTTGCCTTTCTTCTTTGTCCAGGTACAACAATGACTACAACAAGCACGACGCTTACCGACATTACGGCGGCAGTGGCAGGGGGGACGAGCCGAGGTACAAGAGTGAGAAGGATCCCAGGACACACCAACCTGATAGGAGGTAATTATAATAATAATAATAATAATAATAATAATAGTAATAATAATAATAATGCTTTATTCAATTTGTGCCCCGAGCAACCAATAAGTTACATTATGGTGGCACATAAAATGTGCCACCACATCATAACCTACTGCAGTCGAATCTCGTTAATTCAAACTCGAGGGGGACCAAAAATTTGTTTGAATAAAGGAAAGTTTGAATTACCAGGAGTTCCCTCCCATAGAGAGGCATAGGATGGGACCTGCATGTTAGTTTGAATTATCCGCAAGTTTGAATTAAGAGAGTTTGAATTAATGAGAGTCGACTGGTTGTGATGTCCTCGACTGGTTGTGTTTTGTACTTGCGTGGAAGTAAGGAAAAAAAAGAAGTGTACAGTCCTTTCTCTTTACAACGATAGCTGTTGTAATTTGATTGTGATTTGGCAATATCAACAACGTTCACCACTGGAAATGACGTCCATTGTTGATGTTGTAGTTGTTGTCGATGATGTAGTTGGCGTAGCGGGGCACATGGCATCCGTCGTCGATGTTGCCAAATCCTCGAAAAAGATTGCCCGCCGCCCGCGGGAATCGAACCTGGGTCTGTCGTGTGCAAAGCGAAGGAGTTAACAAGGAGCTACTCCACGGTGTTAACAACCTGCTTTATACTTGGCGTTTTTGTAGTACCCGATGGCCACTGCACGCGCTATCTGGAGAAAGAATAGCCGAGTAACAAATATTCATCGTAGAACTGTCTATGCCAAGAGCTCGTGCCGGGAGACACACTTTCACACGCCCTGTAACAAGAAACGAACCAAAAGCGTTCGGAATAAAATGGTCAGGAATCAATCTTGTTCCGAATGCTTTTGTTCACACACCCTCCGGCTTGAACGCAATGTCGATGCCCAGCGACTTTGCCGTGACGTGTCTCAGCTGTCGCTGTGACCAGGGTTCTCCCCAGGAATTCTTCAGGGGTGGGGAGGGGCTGAGGAGGAGGAGGAGGAGGAGGAGGAGGAGGAGGAGGAGGAGGAGGAGGAGGAGGAGGAGGAGGAGGAGGAGGAGGAGGAGGAGGAGGTTGCAATGTGGCACAATCTGGTTTGCCGACAGAACACATTTTGCGTAGACTCTCTAACTTTGTGGCCCTATGTGTGGCACCACGCCATGATGATAAAACAAAAACCAAAATGCTAAAGAATAAAAAAAAAAAAAAAAAAAAACGTAGAGGGAAAAAGGGGGAGGCGAGCGAAGAGGCAAGATAAAGGAATTCGCAGTGCAAGGAAGCATTAAGCAGTGAAAAAATATCTTCTCTCTCTTCACTGCTCACTGCCTGCAGAGAGAACTGCTGCACGGTGCACGTTCCGGTGTGCGTTCGTTGCGTCTGTTTATTTGGGGTTTCTTTCTACTCGGCCAAGCACCTCCCCTCCCCCTCGCCCTCCCCTCACTGTTGACTGCTGACGGCACTGTGCTCTCCCTGTTTGAAGAAGTGGCGGCGGTCGGCAATGCAATAACACGCGATAACGTGGCAGTATGCGGGCCTGCTGAGTGCGGCAGTCTGCAGCCATGCACACATGCAAAATCGCATCGTCATGCTGCAGCATAATCGAGCGGTGGGTGGTCAGTCGGAGCAATGGGCGGTCACTCGGAGCGGTGGACGGCAAAGCCACTTCTGCCCACCGTGGGGAGAACCCTGGCTGTGACTGTACCGTGAATTAAAGCGGGACTCCTCAATTTTTTTAAAAAGTATATAGCTAGAGTCAATTTTCTTTCTGTTTTTAGACGTGCAGTGATTGTCAATAGGAGGATGATATGGCTTGGCACGTTGTACTCTTGCAATGAAACACTCTAAGATGAGAACGATCCGAGAGATTCATAGCTCCTCGCAATGTGCACGTCTAAAAGGCACGGTGCTTTTGTCATATTTTTTTTCAGGTACCACGCAGGGACCGGCAGCACAGGCAACTTCTCCTACGGCATCCCGGCTTCGGTTCCGGGAGGCTATGGCGGCTACGGCGCTACGGCGAGCGTGCCGTCTGCTGCCAGTTTACAACCTCCGCCACCAGGGGTGTTGGGGGAACACAGTCCTATGGGGCCCTACAGTCCATACCAAGGTCACGGCGATTCGTGGAGGAGGAAAGAACGGAGTAACAGCGGCAGCTATGGCCGCCCTCCCAGCCACTATGACAGGCCCTCGGACGCGCCACAAAAGCACGCCTAAAGCGGCTTCACCAATGATTGGACACGTTGTGCCAATCTGTGCCGTCACCTTGTACAGGAGCGTCTCTGACCCACGATCGATCTTCTAAGGCACGTGGATCGTGACTGGCTGCCTCGTGGAATGCACGTTTGCCATCACTTGTCGTGAGGTCGAGTGAGCTACTCGTGATCAGTTCTCATACTCGTACTGATCGGAGATGCGTCGCTCGTGAAAGAATCGCATCAGGAGCCCGATCCCTGCGTCACGGCTTCGGGGAAAGTGTTTCGCTTTCGAAACAGACTTTGAATCGCAACTTCGCGAATGGCGTAGTTGTCACTTGGTGAAAACTTTCTGAGGGTGATTGCCTGTCAATGAACAGGCTCTCTGGAGTGTAGGTGTGCACTAGAGGTTTTATGAGGGTACATTGCTGTCGGAGGTTCAGCACCTGTGATATGGTTGCCTGCTAGGTGAATGCCTTCGGTGATGAGATCGGTATCACTTTTATGAGAGCGTCCAACTTGTAAAGGATCTGTGAAGGCATTTGACGCTCTCACCACAGGTAATTGTGGTCAGGCCCAAGAAAAGTAGGTATACAGAATCGAGTATCTTGCTAATAAAAATTGAAGCTAGTAAAATTAGTGCCACACCTAAGGAAAGATTGTGCCACAAAAAATTTTGTTTCTGAGGAAGCTTCACTAATGGAAGCATTTTACTTGCGAGGTATTTATGTTTCTTCACCAGTTTATTGTGCAAAACACTTTCACTGTATCACTCATGAAAGAGATACACTTGCAGAAGAATCTAGGTTCCGAGACCTTCTCAAAGTCTGAAATTTCTCTCTTCGTAATATGTCGCCTCACAGAAATGCTCCATTTTGTTTTGTGTGTGCACCATGCAAGTAACTGTCGTGAGTTGCATCAAAGGAACAGACAAACCCCCTAGTCTTTTAACCGGTCTTTGTGGTGTCTGCATCCAGACAACGGAGACCAAACTGCAGTCTATTTTAATGGAGAAAGGCTATCAAGAAAAGATGCTATCTATTGACCGGTGGCTACGCAGGTGTGAGAACGGCAAGTTACGTTTGTCAGTCCTAGCACCTGTTAGTTGTGAGGGAAAACTGATCTTGTCTTGGTTGCTTGCTCATGAGTTGAAACGTGTTTCTGTGTGTCGTTACCATAACTATAGTTCTGTATCGGACTGTCATGTGCAGACTTGCTGCTGTTGTCACACACGCACGACTTCCCTATATTTCTTAAAACGAAAATCGCCTTTGTGGGGTCGTTCTTCTGAGCAGAAGTGGGGGTCTTGATTTTACCATTGTAAATACTACTACTGACAGAGGATTTGGTCCATGATGCGTTTCCAAGACGTGCTCGAGGTTGGTGTCTTTGTGAAACGATAGCAAGCGGGAGCTTAATATAACCTCAAGTGGCCAAAGACTGTCTCGTGGGTGCTACGCCCTTCGAAAAAGACTCCTCCCTGTTTATCGTTTGCGTACCTGCTGCTTTTTTTTTTCTTTCATTTTTTCAACAAAATTACAATATTTGTGGAGGTTTTGTCTTGGGAACTGCCAGAACTGTGCACCACGTTCTGCCACGTGAATTGTGGTGGACTGTGTTCAGCACCTGTTGAACTTAATGGTTCATCGGCACACGTCTAGTTCAGTTGTTTCGGAGGCTCTATTACGCCGCACAAGCGGTACTGATAATTCTCGGTTGCCATTGTGTGGGCCGCCGTCTTCAAAGTGATGTGAACATGTTTTAGGTTAAGGTGAATGCTGCTCAGGTATAGTTTGATTGCGTGAACTCTGTCGAATCGTGTACGTCGTTTTGAGCCTTTCGTTGTGGCCAGAAACTTAGAAAAGTGGGCGAACATGTTTTTATGGAATCAAAAGCAAGTGTGATGCTACGAGCGACGGTGTACATAGCTGAGTGCGTGCGTGATTTCGAGTGTTCAAGTCGCAGCGATGCGATTGTGGTGATACGTCGACTGGTGATGAACCCTTCTAGATTTCTCGAGGACCAAGGACTCGTCCCGTTTAGGTGTACAGATAGTGTCTATTTAGTAGCTTGTTTTCTTGGACTCTTTTTGTTATAATTTTTTGTACAAAGATGTGACTAAAGTGATCAAAATAGAATTTCATTTCTTACGTTGTGTTGTGCAGAACTACGTTGTACAATAGGAGGTATTGAGTGTACTTATTATTTTTTTAATAAAGTACAGATCTGTTGTGGGCATTTGCAATGTGAAACAATCTAGTGTCTGATTCCTCTGTGACAGTGACAAGTTGTCGCATAAACAGTGAAGTCATTCTTTCAGAAGAAAGGAGTTGGGAGGTGCAAACATATTCCCGGTTTTTTTCTGTGGTGTGGCGTCACTTGATGCTACGACATCATGTGATACTGTGACGTCTTGTGGTACCGCGATGTCACATGACACTAAACTCTCTAAATTAAGTGGAGAAATTCCCCACTAACCTTAGCAGAGAAATTGTCCGCTTAGTTTAGCAAAACTGTGAAGACGTGTGGCACAACGTCACAATCTTGGATTCCTGCCTCCAAGCGGCTAAGAAAGATGCTGTGTTTACAATCCACGCTGCAGAGTATGCCCGGCACTTCGCTGCCAGGACAGTAAATTTCCCGGACACCAATAAAAAGTGAGGAGATGAGAACGCAAAACTTGAGGGCGCCGAGGGCGCTTCTCACAATGCACTGGTGCATTGCGGAGAAGCTACACCCTCGAAAATCTTTCTGTTGAGAAAAACACTTTCTTTCAGTCTTTAGCGTACATATGCGGCGTCCACGCGGGATGAATCGCCACATGTCACATTATTCACGCGAAGTTTTGTGGTGTAACGAGCCTCGATAATTTCGCTGACGCTGCTCAAGTAGTCAGACATTGCCAGGAAGACGTAGAATCAACAATTCAAACGCGAAAAAGGGCAGAGGGACTCACACCGACGCCTACAACCTCGCATTCCAATGGTTTGTTTATGGGCGACGGCGAGCTTCTTGCCCACACCCCCATCGCGCATGCGCGGCGCCGGTGGCGTCTGCTAGGGGCGCTCCGGTTTGTTTGTAAACATACCCTTGATATCAAGAAATGCCAGCTCTGGCTGGCATTTCTGGATATCAAGGGTGCCTATGACCATGTGAACCAAAGGAACCTGTGGGACATAGTGGAGAGCTTAAAGGGACACTGACAGCCCCCCAAATTTTTTTTTTAATTTTTTGCCAGGCGCTCTATTATGGTGTCGGAGGACTACCCAATTAATATTTTGCAACACAGTAGCGTATTTTTTTAATAAAGCCAAAAGACGCAACTGCTCGAAACCAAAACCGAAACCCGACGGGGGTCGGAGAAGTGAAGAGAAGAGAGTGAGTGGCGGAAGTCACGTGGCTACACCCGGCCGTGCGTTTTTTTTTTTTTTCTCCTCTCCATAGCAGACGACACGACATGCGGCGTGCGATGCGGCGTGCGGGAACTGCTCGCCGGGCAATTCTTTTGCAGTTATGTTTGTTCCGCTCGTTGTTCTGTACTCCAAGATGAGTTGTTTTGTACGTTGAGGGGTCGGAGATGAATAGTGAGTGCCCGTGGTGAATTTCCATGATCGACTCCGAAAAGAATACACCCAAGATGTTGCGTGAAGAGCTGGCTCACATGTCCTGCGTCCGAAAAAAAAGTGGCACTGTGCGACAGAGTTTCCGAAAGATCAACGGGATCGGGACCATTGGCTGGCTGCAATTCCTGTAGAACATATACGGGCACCTCAAAAAGCGGGCGCTACCTGATTTATAAGCGCCTTGCATTTTGTGGAAAGTGATTACATTGAGTTCGCAGGTGTCAAAAAGGAAATCACATACCATTTAATTCAGCGAAGTTTCGTCCGCAACATTTGTTTGTTATTTTTTGTTTGTTTCTTCAGTGATGATTGTAAAAAAAAAAAAAAAAAAAAAGATATGTAAACACCGGGAAATGTTTGAAAAAAAAAAAAAAAAGTTTCACGGGGAATCGAACCCGGTCCTACCGCATGTGAACCGGACGTCTTCCCTCTTCCCCACTAAGCTACTTTTTTTTTTTTTTTTTTTTTTTTTCTTTATTGCATGGGAATAGAGGACGAGAGGACACATCGTAGGTTACATAGGCAAACATTATGATCTAGAACACTTTGATATTCATTAAGCTGGAGAGCAAAGGCAACCAGTCGGGCAGAATGTCGCGACACTCGTATATACTTTTGATTTGGGCTACACACTGAGTAAAATAAAAACTCACAGGTTTTGGTGCCTGAATGGCGTTTCTTACATCCATCCGAGATTTCCAAATACTATATAAACCCAAGAGCATAATGAGATCATACGGCACAGTGTCTTCCGAAGAAACAGGCAGGAAACGTATTGAATGCGGTGAAATGTTAGTCTTTTTTCAACGTGCGCTGCAGGACATCCCAGAAGAAAATTTCGTCCCAGCAATCAATAAAAACATGTTCTGTAGTTTCTGGTGTTTTGCACAGTAGACAATTCACTGTCCATGGAACGAATACCCCTTTTTCATTTAGCCATACTTTGGTCGGTAATACAGAACAGTGCAACTTAAAAAAGAAAGTTTTGGCTGCTGGAGGTATTCCCATCTTTTTTACGCGACATAATACATCCCGACCAGGGCAGCCTTCATAGATCGTGCGATAGATTGGTGTTGGGAAAAGAACATCCACAAGGTCTCTATATAGTTTTTTCCTTGAAACAGTTCCGAGATATCCCCTAGAAAATCTGACACTTAAGAAGTTGAAGGCGTCCACAACTTCTTTAAGGTACCCCACTAACCTTGGGGTTCGGCTTCCCACCGATGACACCAAAAATGATGGCAGGTGGGATGCCAGTGTCGTTTGAATCATTTCACGAACGAAAGGAGTCTCTTGATCTCTGAGAAAAAGAAATCGTGAAACCAATTGACGGATAAACAGGTGCGGCAGGCCGATGCCACCTTCTGGGATGCGCCGGAAAAGGTTGTCCCGTCGCATGGGCTCCCAGGTGGATTTCCATACAAACACTGCAAATATTCTGTGAAATTTTTGGATGTTCCGCCTTGCACAGTGCAGTACTTGCAAAACATACCAGAGTTTGGCTACAAGAAAAACGTTGCAGATTGTAGACCTTGTGAAGATCGACATATCTCGGTGAGACCAGCGCTTAGCGCGTTGTTCCAGGTTGGTCGCCACATCCGACCAGTAGGCCGAGCTGTTTCTGATGTGCTGTAGAGGCACTCCTAGGTATTCGCAGGGCGTACAGCTCCATTCGATACCCTCGTATTCAGGGGGCGTCGTTGCCCAGGATCCGTGCCAGAACCCTCTGCATTTTTGCAGGTTCACTGCAGCACCAGTGGCCGCACAGAAACTGCGCGTGAGCGCTACAGCGTGACTGACACTTGCTTTGTCCCTGCAGGGGGGCTATGTTCGACAAATGTTTCGTTTCTCCTAAAAAGAAACGGAAGTGATGGAACTGACGATATCGCGTCTGATTGGCTAGAGGCTCAAATGACGAAAGTTCCCTCTTTCGTCATTTGAGCCTGCAGCCAATCGGAAGCGATATCGTCAGTTCTGTCACTTCCGTTTCTTTTTAGAAGAAACGAAACATTTGTCGAACATAGCCCCCCTGATGTAGGCAATGTCGTCTGCGTATGCCAAAACTTTGGTTTCTACACCGCGCAAGGCGTAACCTTTCACCTTCTCGTTTTTGATGATACTCAGACATAGAGGCTCTAAATATAGAGCAAAAAGTAAAGGGGATAAAGGGCATCCCTGCCGCACTGACGACTCAACCGCTATGCTTTCCGAGACATTATTATTAAGTATTAGACTGGTGTGACAATTAGTATACGACATCTTAACGCCCTGTAAAATTATTTTCCCAACACCAACCTGTTCCAGAATCTTGAAAAGCACATTATGTTGAACCCGATCAAACGCCTTCGCCAGGTCGATTTGGAGCACCGCGACTTGACTGACTTCAATGGACACAGACTCTAAAATGCTACGGACTACGTGAATGTTACTTTGTATTGCTCTTCCCTCAATTCCGCATGTTTGGTGGTCCCCTATTAAGTCAGTGATTACCCGCTGTAACCGAGCTGTCAAAGTTTTAGCCCAAATCTTATAATCTACATTACACATCGTAATAGGTCGATGACCACCGACGTGGCGGAGTTCGTTTTTGTCCTTACTCTTCGGAATTAAAACTGTGTGCGTACGTAGAAAGGAGGGGGGCAGCGTATTTGATTGGTATGCCTCTCGAAATAGTACTTGCAAAATTGGGCAAATTACATTTTTATGCATTTTATAAAACTCAGAAATAATGCCATCGGGGCCGGGAGTCTTTCCGTTAGGAAGGCCATCGACTGCATTTTCTATTTCTGCCAGACTAATGGGGTCTTCTAGATCCTTTATCTGTTGTTCGTCTAGACGCGGGAGCAGGGATATCAGCCTGGTGAGGCATTTGGTGTCTTTTATATCTTCGTTTTTCCCAAAGAGTAAACGGTAGTGTTCGACGAACACGCGCTGAATCTCCTGTTTATCTGTAACTATTTTATTGTTATGCTCTATTTCTAAAATTTCCTTCGTCACGGCGTGGCGTTTTTCGTCTGCCATTGCTTTTTTTGTAGGTTGCTCTCCTAGGAGATATCTTTCCGCTCGGGAGCGCACGACCGCGCCTTGATATTGCTCTTGATATAGGCTGTCTAACTGAGCCTTTACATAGTTTATATCTTTTGCTCCCTGTCCTGGGTTTATAGATTCAAGCTCGTGCAAAATACGCAAATCATTCAGTAGCTTTTTTTCTTCTTTATGTTTATGGAAACTAATTATTGTCGATCTTTCTATTGCCAGTTGCTTCAATTCTTCCTTGAAGCGCTCCCACGCCGCACTAATGTGTTGCTTCTGGCTAGCTACTTGTTTAAGCAGTTGTCTCGTGTCATTTGTAAACGTTTCATCTCTAAGCAGCTGAGAATTAAGCTTCCATAGCTTCCAATTGATGCGTTTCGGTTTTCGAGATTTCTGGCCTATTGTTATGGCAACCATGCAGCGGTCTGTAAAATAAACTGGTTCTACAGCGTAACTGTTTAATTCGTTCATGAGTTCTAAAGAACAATAAATCCTATCCAGACGGGCGTGTGATGCTTGCTGGAAATGCGTAAAATAAATGGTGCGTTCTCGCGACTGGAATTCCGCCACGTCGGTCAAGTCGCACTCTTCAATTA